TTTTATACCCGATAAAACACTCCTGCTCGTTTATTAAACATTACATAAACTTTATTGAAGGAGGGTGACACAATTAACCCAGAGAGTTATCTAACACGTGGCCCTCACAATACTGAAACAATTCAAAAATATAAGAAATTAAAAGTGTAAAATCACATCATATTACTGGAAATTTGAATAAATCACAATTGTAATCAAATGAAAAAGAAAAATTGACAAAATTTTAAAGTTGTGAACAAAGGGATTTGGCATGTGTCGTGACTTTTGAATCACGCCAGATTGCTTTAAATCACGCCAGATCTTCACAACTTAAGCCTCACATCGATCGGTGCGAGTTTGCATTTGGTCTATACGAACAAAGAAAGTTGTCATAAAGGGAACGACACGTTGTCTGGAATAGAAAACATTGCACCCATGCTGGATGGGTCTATTAGTAAACTTGGTCTTTATAACTCACCTTCGCAACCGTATAATTCTAGTCTTAGGCATGCTGCTTGATGCCACTTGACAGGATGGATTCTTAAGTACCTCACCCTTTCTAGGTTCATGCTGTGTTTAACAACAAACGAGCCGTCGTTATTCGCTGTAAATACCTGCATCATTGAAAGAAGAAGAAAACGAAAGAAAAGATCAATTGATTAATGAAGTTCTAACAAGCAAACGTATTATCTCACTAGAAGACACAGTAATATTCACTACACATTATTTTGCTCAGATGACAAATGATTTCAATTGAAAATCACATCAATTGAGTTAGAAGACTTACTTTCGTAATGCCTCCTTCTGAGTAATTCTGCCAATGTTTGTTGTCTTCTCGATAAGAAAGTGTAAACTGCTCAACCCACGCAGCACCATCGTTCCGTCCTTGGGTTGCAATACTGCGAACTTTATGCACCCAGAACAGATCAACCTGCAGGAAAGGGCTTGTTTCATTGGGGCCTGCACACCATGCTCCAAGGCCTTCCTTTGAATAAAGCCTTGCATTCGATGGTAGACTAGCTGGGTTAAGGTATCCTGATGCGGTGATTGCGTCATCTTTGATCCTGCTGGTAGTCATTCCTAGCTCTATTTCGCATGCTTAAAAGTAAAAAGTGAAATAGAGAGATTTTTTGAAGTAAATAGTAGAAGAGATTGATACACCACAAAACTACCAACAAAACAAGAACAAAAAAGTACAAATAAAAAAACACAAAAACAACGACATATTCATCTTCATCAAGAAAAACACAAAAATAACTCCAAACAAACAAAATTTCGACCAGCACAGACCCGCTCATAACGGAAAAATTCTATCTTTACCACCACCAAAACCTCCATCTTTACCACCATCAACATCATCATCTTTACCCCTGACCCTCCACAACTTCAACTTTGCGACAATCAACGCCCCAACATATAAGATTGTGCGTGCGAGTCATCACATTACCTTGGCAGCCATAAATCTCGAAACGAAGACAGGGACATTCGATTGATTCTTCAGGGTGTATCCTGACATATCTCGCTTCTAGTTTGTGTTCCATTTTTACTAAATACCTCGGGATTAGAGGATCTGCTGCCCTAAAGCTTATCTGAATACAATAATCAATAATCGATCATTAATCATTAATCAGTTATGACAACAGAGTAGGTTAGGGTCTTTAAATTGGGAATGTTTGACCGTATCAAAAAGGTGACCTGGATAAACAGGGGTTGAAAAAATTTCGACGAATGGTAATGATGATTTATATAATTTATATAGCGCCTTTTCTATGTGGATATAATCGAAGACGCTTTACATTGAGTTGTGAACGACAGATTGCTTTTATGCAATTTTACAAGCATGAGAGATGGTTAGTATGAAGTGTAGGCACTGTGGGTGGTCACTGCCAGGGTTATTTTACGTCCTCAGTGGATCTTTTACGTCCTTCCGGTGTTGGTTAGTAATGATGAGTGTGGAGAGACGGGACCGCCATTAACATGGTCATCCGAGCCACTTGAAAAACTAACCATTTGCAGATGTAATTACAAAGGCAGCACTTTCTCCTCAGTTATTTTAACAACCGGTTGGCGGTAATATATCTTCTCTGAAATCTTATGTACTAACACAAGATAGTAAGGAACTAATTTTCAGTTTTCAAAGTTACCTTTGGAACAAAAAAAAATCCGAGAAACTAAAGAGGTCATATCTTTTCTTAAATTACGCAAGGATAAGTCATAATGTTTAAGTGGAAAGTCTTAGAGTGCAAACCCTCTATCCGTGAAATAGTACTAACTAATTAGCATAAATTATCACCAATGAAACGATTTAAAACAAAAGAAATAGATGTGCTTAGGGCTATTTTGGTGCTATTCCACGGATATATGGTTTGCACTCTACTTTTCACCAATTCTTCGTTTGCGCGTTACGTCATCGCGGCCATGTTGGTACCATTTAACAAAAGATTTCTCATTCGCGCATCCATTGTTAACGACACCACAATGCCGCCATGTTTTTGTCTTTTAATTCTCTTGGGAATTCTTGCAACTCATCAATACGTACTTTTTCCAATGTATGAAGAGTTTGTTTTCCATAATACTGCCAAGTATCATTCTCTGGCTCCTTGTACTCCAAGGAAAACTTATTTATCCAACAGTTTTTCATCGGATCTCCCTCGGTTGCTATGGCACTAACGAGGTACGTATCTCCGAGGTCAATTTCTAGGTATTCGTTTGGACTCGTTGTTACCGGGCACCATGAATCGTTCTTTGCTCCACCGAACTTTGCACGCCATGGCTCGTGATTTGGCAAACTACTTGATGCGTTGAGTGATGAATTGTGAAGAGATCCAATTTTCAACCGATCAAAACAACCTTGGATTTGTAAAGACAATTTATTAATGACAAGTTATCATTATATATATATATATATAATTATATATATTCAAATCTATTCTCTAATAGTGGACACGGAAACACCCAGCCTCCGGCTAAACCATCCAACTGGAAGAGGTCATTAAGGTATATTATATAGCACTGAGTTTTTCACGTCGTGCATGATTCTTGTACAACTCACTGATTTACATATTAAGGTGGCTCGACCCAGTTTTTAGAATGCTCGGGCATAAAAGGTGGAATTTTAGGTTATGTAGAAAAAAAAAAAAAAGAAAATTTTTCCTAGATTTTGAGAAACAATGTCAGTAGCGTAAACTTCACAAATTTGAATTAAACGCGCCAAATTAATACTTTAATCATGTTCGTCTCAGGGGCGATCAAAACCAAGCAAATACGATAAGTTTTTTTTACAAAATACAGAAGCACGTCTTGGTGTTAATAAGAACCAAAAATATTGTGTCTGTTTTTTTCGAAAACTAGTGTTATGAATTAAAGTTAGTATAGTAACGTCGGTTTTTCATTTATTCCGAGTAAAATAATTGTTTCGTTTTTATTCAAAAATGGCCTCACGATTGCCTTAAACGTCCCCATATTAAAACCAAACATTTGGTCTACAAAGTCTAATAAATCGCTTTCAAAGTTTGGGTCTGGATTTCGAGATAATATGCGAAATGTAAAGTCAAGGGCATCACAATTTCGATGCAAGGAAAACGTCGATTTCAACCAAACTAGCGTCAGTATAAAGTTTAGTTTAAGTTTACTATTCATGCGAAAAAATATGTTTAACTTTTAAAAGTCTGTGACGAGAGATATAGCCGTTTCAACTTAAGTGCCCGCGTTGGGTCGAGCCACCTTAATACTTGTCATTATTTTAATCTTACAGTACTTATAGTGGACAATTTGGCTACGCCTCGTGTTTCTAAGCGGCGGCGGCGTGTTTATATCACAGTACAGAGACAAGCGCGCGATGAACAAAATTATTACTTATGTTAATTATTAATTATTATTAGTATTACTTACTATCGTATCCATAAAGTTCGGTTCGCAGTGCTATACCAGTAATCCATTGTTTTGGTGTTATCCGAAGCTTGGAGGCTAAGAGTGGCCTTGACAAAACAACTCTAGAAACTTTAATGAGATCTTCCAGAACTTTGAACATCTATAAAAGAACCAAAAATTGTCAGTAAGCGGAATAGAAATAGTAAGATAAAAAAGACAGACAGCATGTAGTTTACTATGACAGCCATACAGGGTTACAAGCTTAGAGCAAAGACATCAACTACAGTGAATGTTTCGCCATAGGCGGCTGCCCTATTGGATAAATTTCTGACAATATGTTTTCTCTCCAATGTCCACTATTAATAGTGCAGTTTTCGTATGACTTTGGAAAGCTCGGTGCCGTAAGCGTGAGGTGCCGTGACCGTGATGCTTTCTAGAATCTTAATTGGCTGATTTTTTTCACGCGCAATGTGATTGGTCTGGCATTGCCGTGACCTTGGCGTGACCGTGTCCGCGCCGTGTTTATGCCGTGTTACGGGTATTTGATTGGATGGAGAGTAAATTCTCGTGCAATGTGATTGGTCTGGCGTATCCCTTGCCGTGTCATGGCCGTGTTCGTGCCGTGAATTTTTCACAGTCATACGAAAACTGCACTATGCATGAAAGTCAGCAAAATGAACACCGGTCAAGTTGGACGTGAAGTAAAACAAAGCTATTTAAACCGTTAACATAGGATTGAAATAGAGTGGACTTTGTTATCAATGAGGAACGTCATAACACGCTGGACTCTCACCACTCTCACCAAGGAATTGAGGACAAGCTGGTTATCCGATCAGAATGTTGGCCATACCACCGTCACGGTCACGGTACGTCACGTGTGAACTGAATTTCTTTAGAGGTGCTTACCTTTACTTTACCGTCAACTTTATAACCATACCAGTTCTTGTCATCGACGCTGTAGCTAACAGTGTACATCGTAATTAACCTATGAAAACCTTGTACAGCAAAAGCCGTGATAACCTTGCCAAACGGCTGTAAAGTGATCTCAAGGTATTCAACACCAGTTTGAAGGTTGGAATACCATCTATTATTAAAGTAAAGTCGAGCGTATTCGAATCTGGTTGAGGTTATATGACTACCAGATAGCAGCTCAGGTCCAACTTCTTGTGTTTCCAAACCATATGCTTGAGCCAAAACTGTTCAAGACAATCAAACAATTATTTCTAAACACTAAAAAGACAAAGAACTCGAAGTAAAAAGACAGAGCATTTAAGGTTACGAAATCAACCAACTAATCATAAGATATTGTACTTTTCAAAATTCTTCGAAGCACTAGAGAGAACCATGCAACAAACAGCTCTAATCACATTCGACAAGAAGCCCGGGGTCGCATTGATGAGAGGCGACACATTAGCAGCGCTCACCACCCGTGGTGAACAACATGAGACACATACCTTTACATCCAGCAAATTCTATTCGCATGCACACCCAGTTATGCCATTCTCGTGGAAGAATGCGTATATAACGAGCAATGAAGGGATTCTCTAAGGCCAGCTTTATAGTTTCTTGACCGTTTCTAATGCCATCAAATACCTAAACGATACAAACAATAACAGGTAAAGTACCTATATTTAACGTCGGTAGTTCTTTCAGTTGAAATTCAACTGCTGTCAATGGAAGCCGACGGTGCGCACTTTATCCCCTCTCTCCTTCAATGCTCTGTTATAAGAGTATTCAAAGCTGAAGCTACACGAATTAGCTCCAATAGTGATTACAATTAAGCTTTTGTTTATTTCATTACATATCGGGGACTAATACTATTAATGGATTCTCCGAGTCGAAATTACGGTGCAGCACCAAGCGAGAAATGTCTACCTCAGGAAAAGAAAACAGGGGAAACAGCATTTAGTTGTTACCTACATTTCAGTCTGTTTCTCTAAAAAAACTACTTCCGTGTTTTTTTATCAATATAGGACAATAAAAGACTCCGTAGCAAGAAATCAGAGGGGAAAAAAAGGTTATTGTTTTTGTTATTCCCAGTCCTTTATAGTTTTTGCGGGGTAAAAAATCGAACAAAAAGCACCAACAAAATTAACATTACAACGGCAGAATCTCGTTCAAAACTTTGAAATTAAATCTTACTTCATTGCTTTGCTCGCGATATGTAGTCCACGCCGAGCCATCTAAACTGTACTGAACCGAAAACTTCGTCAACCAAGCTGAAGGAGATCCCGATTTTCCTTGTAGAAAAAGTATTTTAACTTTATAATGTTCGACGAAATTCACGTGTAGGTACTGGTTACTGTTATTGGCACCAGCACACCATCCTCCGCCCAGTATGTTAGTGTTAAGACGGGCAAACCATGGCTGATAGTCTGGACCAAGAGAACTTGATGCGGAAATTGTTTCATTCTTTATGTAACCATGTTCCATTCCAATTGTGGTAGTGCAATTCTCTTTTTGGACGTCTGTAGGAAATAGGAAGGATGAAGCAAACACATTTACTCTCTTTTAAGAAAGACATAAGAACAGAGACAGAGACAAAAGGGGTAGGGAGGAGAGGGAGGGGAGAGAGAGGAAGAATAACGATAGCAAAATAATAATTATAATCACTCCTCTCTATATAGAAAGACATACGGGTAGAAATAGAAAGGGTAGAGAAAGAAATACAGAGCTAACTGAAAATTCCAGCCTTTTTGGATGTATTTGGGAAAGAAGAAAAATAAGAAAATAATGGGAAAAATTAAACAGACAGAAAATACAAACAAATCAATTCTCTATTTGGAGACAGACAGATAGACAGGCATTCAGATAGAGACAGAGGAGGTAGGGGGTAGTGAGAGGTTATGACTGAAAAAAGCCAACCACACTACAAATATAACTTGATTCATGTATCTTACCTCTGCATCCTCTGAGTTCAATCCTCATGCATATTCCCAAGTTCCATCGTTTGGGATTAACACGGACATATCGTGCTGTGATTGGACGAGGAAACTCGATGATTGTCATATCAGGGCCATTCAAGTTAGCATCAAATAACTGAAAAACAATCCAATGGAAATTTTACAATAACGTTCAGATAGATTTGAAGGGAAGAGAGAAAAGAAGAGAAGATATGGAATGTTTTGGGGGAGGGGGGGGGGAGGGGTAGAGAGATAATTGGGAGGTGTAATGAAGTAAATTTTTTTAAAAAATGCACCAAATAGTTGGGTTAGAGGAACACTGAATTCAGCCTTTCCGAACCACTAGCTCCCTCCCCACCCCCCATGAAAAGTAAAATGTTCCTGCCTCATTTCATGGTTGGCGTCATATACAGCTATACAATTATTTTTAAAAAAGGTTTACCAAGCTTGAAATGTATTATTTTTGTATTGTAAATAATGTCAAAACAAAAGAAAATAAAAACGTGCATGCAGACAAAGTTTGGGAAAAATTTCATATCGATGTCAAATTTCGCCGATTTCATCATTCAAATCGCGCATAGTGCGTTTCGAGCTCCGTATGAAGCATGTAACGATTTGAAACAAAACCTTCGCTAACCTGTTTTTCAAAATAGCAATCAAAAGATAGAAGCTACTTACAAATTAGTAATTCTTAAAGCTACTTACACTAAACGTTTCTCCATCCTTTGTTATCATTTTCCAGTATCCTTCATCTTTAGAATACGAGACCAATACTTGTTGTACGTATTTAGAAGTAACAGCATCTCCCTCGATCTCCAGCCCACTGACTTGTGCTGGCATCTCAAGGTCAACCTGTATTATATTATTACAAATTTTAGAAAAAATCAGTAACCTTTTTATTATTCTCTGGTGCTAGAGGCACATCTTTCATTTCATTTTCACGCACACGAGTACGCGCAAACGAACGAACAAACAAAAAATATATAAGGAATTAATGTATTTCTGATAGTATCACTAAGAAGGATATGTTGATGATGATTATGATGGTGAAGTCATTGATGACGATGATGATAAAGTTGATGCTGATGTTAATAACGATATGATGATGATGACGAAGTCGCATATGATCGTGCTGCTGGAGTCGTTGATGATGATGATGATAATATTGATGACGGATAATGACAATGATGTTAATAATGATCATGATCATGATAAAGTCGTTGATAATGATAAAAATGAAGAAAATAAAGTCTTATGTGATAATGATGATAAAGTTGATGCTGATAAAGACGTTGATGAGATGATGATGATGAATTCGCAAATGATGATGGGGATGATGGAGACGACGATAAAGATGATGATGGTGATGGTAAAAAAAATGATGCTGATGATAAAAACGCACCTGCAGGTAATGGTGTTTGTGAGGAGAGCTGAATTGTGAACACCAACTACCATTAGAACCAATTCTTCCAAACCACGGTTCGTATCCAGCTTCATATGTTGAGGCAGTTATCGAAGTGTTTTTAATCTGGCCTGATCTCATCCCCAAAGGCTTCTCACATGCTTTGAAGGTAAAAAAGGAATTTTTGTTAACTTTAGAACTACTGATTGCCATGACTGAATCCATCCGTCCCTTTTTTCCGTCGGTCCGTCCATCGATGCTAGTCAGCACAAGCAATCAGGCTTTTTACGATAACTTACAAATTTCTCGCGCGCTGATTGATTATTTTTTATCATCAATAAAACGTTCATGCATTACATTTTTTTCTTTCATTAATTCATTCACTTACAAGTGCTTACCTTGGCAACCATAAAGCTCTACGCGGAAACCTACACGTGATCTCCAAATTAATGGATTAAAGCGGATAAAACGAACTGTAATTGGCCTTGACAAGACTTGTTTAACCGCAGTTTCTCGGTCTCTGTATCCCCTGAAATACCTCGTTGCTCCATTCTCATTGTAATCAAACCATTGTTCCCCGTTTAAATTGTAGGACAGGTAATATGTCCATACGCCAATATTATCATGATAGTCCGGCTGCATAGCCACAGCAGTAATTGAAGCTCTGCTGGTTTGAAGCTGAATTTCTAAGAATATTTGAAAGTGCAAATAATTGTTTGCTACAAAGCCACTTCCGCTATGTAATATACCGTATGTTGGGTAACGATAGGTGCTCGACCATGAGCTCCGAATAGTTTTGAGCTTCTTTGTTTCTAGTCCAAGAGCAGAAGAACAATCTATAGAAAAATATAGAAGAAATCAGTTTATATCACGAAAGAGAAAAAAAAAAGTCGCTTGGAATTGACAATGACATGAATGGTAGTGGAATACATTATTGGGTGAAAATAGATGGGACAAATTTGATAAACAATACCTGAACATCCTGTCAATGACGCTTTCATACAAATCCAGTTTTGCCATCGAGTTGGGAAGAGACGAACAAATCGAGCAACAAGATGTTGATCGACAGCTTGGAGAGCTTCATCCTGGTAGCTTTCGCTTCCATTGAATATCTAACAAATAAAGAACAAAACGTTAATCTTGCTCACCGCAAAATATCAAAGGCATCCTTTGATCGATTGGAGTCGTTTTGTTTAGTATGGGGTATCACCACCCTTGTCCTTAACAGGGACCTCGGGGCGTAATTTTGATTTGGGGGTGGAGTCTAAACAACAGACGGAGGATTGAGCATCTAAGAGGGTTCGGGGGTAAAATTTTTAAAACTAAGATCCTCAGAAATGCGATTTCCAGTACTTTGAGGGGCATTTGCAACGTGTTTGTTTTATCATAAGCCCATCTCTGGTATCTCGTGTTTATTTCATAAAATTGTATGATAAAAGATTAACTGGGAATAACAACAAAATAAAATAAGAAATTCCTTTTCTTCGTTTTTTTCCCCCTAACAAGAATTCTACGGTATATGTAGTATTTATGAGAATTGTACAAACATTATACAAATTATTGTACAGTTCTGTGGGTCTACGGTCTACTGAAGTCTACTGATTGAACCTACTAATTTGTGCAATTTCTTACAAAGTTTTTCACGGGTATGGTATGCACTATATATAAATATTGCTTAACTTTACCTTGACATAACCGTTTTCTGTATAGTTCTTCCAGACTTTCCCATCACTACTGTACTCAAGCCTGTATTTATTGACCCATGATCCATTGCTCTCATTGGGACTTATTGCAGAACCTGTGGTCGTTATGCCTGTTATTTTGAAGTCCACAAGATTGTCAAATTGAAGAAATTGTTGATTATCATTATACTGAGCACACCAGGCATTATTTGGTACACCATATCGCATGCTGCCAAATTTGGGCTTGAAGTTCGGATCGAAGTAGCTTGAGGCTTGCACTCCTGAGTTGGTTTCAAACTCCTGGTTAGAAGTGATTTTTTCTTGACATTCTAAGATGGAAAAATACAAGAGTCAAGATTAATGAGCTATTGGAAAATAATCAAGGTGATACGTCTCGAGTAAAAATATTCAAACAGCACCATTCCTGGGCATCCCAACCCTAGGAGTGATTTATCCCGGGTTTTCTAGGCTTCATCCATAACGTCAATGTCATATTCTTATAATTACCCTAACTTACCACTTAGCTCCATTATATAAGCAATGTAAGCAAAAGAAAAAAACTTTATAGAGCTTCCAGGTACAAAATTCCCAAATAAAAATAATTTAACAATAGAATAGTTGAACAGTTGAATGTCATACCTTTGCAGCCGTAGACTTCCACCCTCATACAGGAACGTTTTTCCAACTCAAGTGCGAGGAACGATATGTAGCTGGCTTTAAAAGGGTATTTGATGAATATCCTCGTGATTGACGAATCGTTCGAATTTGCTAATAAATCCTGCAAAAATTGATTTTAAGACTGTAACTATGTGTATCACGAGGAGTGCAGAGGCTCTAAACAGGGTCTAAGACAAAGTCATAAGGAAAGGACTGATTTTTTGAATGTTTTTGTTTTAATTTGCTATTGTTTGTTTGTTGTTTTCTCTGGTCAAGCAATGTTTCTTAGGCCTGATCAACCTTTTCCATCTTAATTGGGGGGAGTTCACTATTAGTCCTTCAGTAACGCCTACTTTTTTGTTTCAATTCGAGCTTTCGTATGTAAATTACCCATTCCAGATCACATGACCTTCCCTTGAGAATTGTTCTTTTATGACGAACATCATGTTAAATATTTACACATAAAAGAATCATATGACAGGTGACATGACGTTCCCTTGAKAATTGTTCTTTYATGACGAACATGTTAAAACATTTACACATGAAAGAATCAACTCMCAAGAGTGGCATSACATGGTCTGAAATATGAACAGCAAACAACAAAGCAAAAAAGGTATTTTGGACATCTGATTGGAGGGATTGTCACAACTCTAGAATGAAGAAATAGCAATGTAACAACGACATCAGCCTCAACGACAAAACAACAACACAAGTAACACAACACAATTAACTACAAAACAAGATTAAAAACAAAAACAAATCACGACAAAGACGAGAACGAACTGCAGTAACAAAACAACTACGAAAACAGAGCACAGCAACAACAAAAGCAATACAACACAGGAAAGCAACATAAAGTACGAAGCAACAACAAGTCTGAAAACAGATCTCATTGCCAAATACAAGATACATAACAGCAAAGCCCAACAGCAATAAAAAAAAAAGCACTTCAAGGTAACCATAACTTACACTGCGTCCAAAGTTATCGGTATACATGACCCAAGGAGTAGTGTTTTCCTTATAATACAGTCTAACTTTCTTAGTCAACTGATCTTTATACCCCTGTATCGCTACTTGAGATATGAGGAAACTCTTGCCAAGATTAACTTCCAGCTTGTTGTTGGGATTGCTGTTTGAAGGGCACCATGCAGTAATGTTGGCAAGTAAACTTAGCCGGGCGTTATGGGGATGGTGATCAACGCTGATATCTGATGAAGTGGCTTCAAAGTTTTCGTCGGCAATAGAAGGTAAAATCGGTTTATAGCAATCGACTACAAAATAAGGATATTTTGCATGTAAACAATAGAAATATAGAAATCATTTATCATTTGTCACTAGATGAAAGGAACTTAGAATTAATAGGAATCGAACCAATGACTTTCCGAATAGCGGTCGGATGATTTCGGAAACTCATAAGGGTGTTAAAACGAGTAACAGTCATACATTTTTGTCGTACGATGCTCGGGAATATTCAACTTTTTTCTTGACACTTTTTTCCAGTAACATGTGCTCTTGCTTCAAATTTTCAAACTTTAAAGAGAGATATCCGAAATGTTTGATTGAAAGATTCAGTAAAGTTTCTCTGAAAGTCACTTGAAATTCAGTGACAAGTTTGATATGTGATAGAGACGGCCATCTTTAATCAAATTTCTGAATCTGAATTTCAAGGAGCATGGTTATAGTGTTACATGTTTCGACCCCCCTTATAAGTTTCTGACGCTCTAACCACTGAGCTACAGGAAAAACTCGTAATGAGCGGTCATTTACTGGGTTCATTATGACACACGGCCTGCACACTACTAGGCAATGCGTCCAAATTTAGTTCAGAATCCTTATAATTAGTATATGATGAAATTTTATTAACTAGCTAGGAAAGTTATTATAGAAATAATTTAAAGAAATTAACTATACACATTAAAAAACTTCTTTACCTGCGCAACCATAAAGTTCAACTCTAAGACGAATAGAATTTTTGCTCACTGCTTTTATATTTAGCTTCACGTATTGGGCTTTTAGTGGGTAAGAAAAGTGATTCAGTGCAGGAGACCACAAATTGAAGTTGCCTCTGAAAAACTAAAGAGAATACAAATTTAGCGTTAGAGCAATCAGAGATTGGATGTGTGTATTAGCCATTGCGAGAAAAAAGGAAAAAACTGGGTCGAGTTGACATTGTAGTGCATAATGGGACTGTTTATTGAACAAAATATACGCCATCTTGGAAATACGTCCTCTAAAACAATGCAGTCGGGAGAGCATACATGGCACTCCGTTCATAGTTCTGACTCAGACAACAGTGAACCAAGCCGTTGCAGCAGTTTTCCGAGTGGAATTAAAATCTTATCTCATAAACAACTACACATTATTTGTTTTAAAGAGTACTACAAGGATAACCTGGCAATGTTCTATTCTTTTCGCAGGACAGTACACTATTGAAACAATTTTTAATCAAATTTCCGCGATCCGAGTTTTATATTCTGAGATATTCTAGATAATTTGTTAAGCTTGTGGGAAATAGCAACGGTAACTAAGGGGAGTCGGAACCGAGTTGATTTAATGCTATGCCAACTCAACCTGGGTTTTTTCCCTCAACCTCGGAATGCCCAATAACAAATCCTATAAGCTTGGACGTTCTTTACTCCCATTTCAGACAACGTATCATTCCCTAGAATATCCTTTCATTATTTAGCAGTTTTGCTCGCACGTGAAGACACATGAATATGGAAACACTCAAACTCGAGCCAAAACTGGTCTTTCTGCATGTACTCATGTGAACACGTGCAAAAACCTTTGTCCTTATCTCATGCTCTTTTTCGCTGTGAATTTCTCGCTCTGGATATATTTTCTTTAAAATGTTACAAGATTTCGGTTCCGAATCTCAAAAGCTTGACTGCAAATCTATCGCTATGACTATGATTTGAGTTTCTTCAAGATCAGATAAGTCAATTCTTCGTTTGCACGTTACGTCATCGCGCCGGCCATGTTGGTGCCATTTAACAAAAGATTTCTCATTAGCATCCATTGTTAACGGTACCACAATGGCCGCCATGTTTTTGTCTTTTAACTCTCTTGGGAATGCTTGCAATCCATCAATACCGACAGCTTTGCAGTTAAGCGTGTGAAATTCGGAGTCGGAATCCTTATAGATGTTTATGAAATCCATTTGATTAACGTCCACCAAAACTCAATTTTTCGTTTGTGATTTAGCTCTCAGTTGGTCGCGTGTGACTGGGAATCGCGGTAAGAAAAATATCAATGACCACTGAAAACCCTTCTGAATTCGAGTTTGTTTGTCGGATATTCTATATTTCATTGCGAAAACTACCCATTCTTCAGAGGTCACTCAAGTAAATCTGGGATCGGTGTATTAATAGAAACTTGAAATATGAAGAAATTTGGATGCCAGATGGCGGACTTATAAAAGGCGTACAAACTTGTTGTTCAAGGTAGCTTTATGTTGACCGAGCTTTATATATATTGATGTTTAGTTGAGGGAAAGAGGATTCATAAAGTTTAAAGAGGGCTACATTGAGCAGCAGAGATTTCGAAACTGGAGTATTTAGTCTCTGGACTCATCTAACCCTCTTTAAAAAAATCTAGATTAATTTTTATAGTAAGGATATTCTTTTCATCGTTACTTACCTTCGCCTTTCCGTTCTCCATATAGTCCATCCAATCGCCACCATTTGGACTAAATGATACCGTAAATACCTTAACAAAAGAATGACTTGTGCTCTCTGTTGCTACAGCGGAAATAAATTTGGTTTGTGGACCGACGTAAATATGAAGGAATTGATTATCATTCATACTGTTATATATCCAATTACCGTTACTGTACAAGCGAGCATATTTGGGAGCAGTAGAAGTATAACTCCACATATCAGCCCTTAATGCTGAATCAGGGATTTTCCCGTCTACCATTCCAAGTGGCGTAAAGCAATCTGTGGATTATCAATATTTCATATCAATAGGAAAAAACAAAAATTATATACACTCAAAACACCAGTTTCGCATTCGATGCATACCGCTGTTTTGAGATATGTTTTGGGTCCGTGTACCTTCCGTCTATTAATGTTTTGTAAAAATGGAAAAATTAAATAATTGCCCAAAATATTGTATTTCGGGATTTGATTTTTCATTTCAACCTGGGCCCGGTTATACGAAGCCTGGATAGTGCTATCCAACGGATAAATCTTATCCAGTTGATGAATTTATTGGAAAACAGCATCTTATTCACTGGATAAGGATTTATCTGCCGTCCTGTTCATATTTATAGACAAAATCTAAGGAAACCAGAGGCATTGCAAGTTCTCGATTAGAGGGGGACAATTTACCATTTTCCTGCCAAATCCACAGGAATTCCGCATGAATTAATTAAATTTTGTTGCCGAAAGCAAACTTTTGTCCCTACGTTAGTTATGGAAACATCGCATAGTTGTGCATAAAAGACTAATGATTTGGATGATCTAAGTGTGCAACATGTTAAAAAGTTCATACCTTTGCATCCATAAAGCTCTACTCTCATACAAGGCATATTAAACCATGATCGAGGTTGAAATCGGACAACTTTACTCTTGAAGGGCGTCTGCAGCATGTGCTTAACAGTAACGTTGAATTTACTATTGCCATAGAATATCTTGTCGAAATAGATTTGAACTTTCTTGACGGTGTACTCCAATGTAGCATTAGCCTGGCTGCAGTTGCTGGTATTGTTATTGCTGGAAATGGTACCGTTTGAAGCGGTACTGTTGTTGGAAGTGGTACTGTTGCTACTGAAAATTGTCCCGTTGGAACTGGTATTGTTGCTGCTGAAAATGGTACCGTTAGAGGTGGAACTGTTGTTGGCAATGCTGCTATTACACATATTGTTCTTAACATTGGCAACCAATACCTGAACAAGAAAATAAATAGAAATACAGAAAGAACTTAATACGTACTTTGCCACTGGAAAAGAAGGAGGAGAAGAAGAAAAAGAAGAAGAAGATGATGATGATAACGATGAAGAAGAAGAAGCTGAAGAACAAGAACAAGAACAAGAACAAGAAGAACAAGAACAAGAAGCTGAAGAAGAAAAAGAAGAGAAATTAGAAGAATAATAATGGATAACTATAGTTTAAATGAACGAATAAACGGTTGGATATATATACCTCTGTATAATTGACATCTTGCAAATATTCCCATTGAAACAAATCTTTGGAATATGACACCTTATAAGACGTAACCCACGCATCACCTAAGCCATCTTTAGACAACCGATGTTTGCCTTGCGATGCAAATCCATTAATGACGTACATTCGAGGCAAGTCTATTTGTAAAAACTGCTGACCATCATGTACCGCAGCGCACCAAGCCCCGTAACCAAGATGAGTATCAAGTCTTCCGTGGTTTGGAAGGTAAGAAGGGCCAAAGGAACTTGAAGCTGAGATTTTGTTTGCAGGAACTTGGAATGTTGTCAGCCCGACAGAAGACGAACAATGAATTTCTACGAAATAGATATCGACGTTTATCAGTTTATAAACATATTGAACCCTGAAACAATAAGTTATTAAATCCTCACTCAAACAACTTCTGGGATGACTACATAAAACAACCAATTAAACAACTAACAACAACAAACCGCAACAACAAACTACGACAAAACTTTTGACTCAAGGGAGAAATCCAACAAAATATACTCACATTCGGTGCAAACTCAAGGATTGAAGACTGATGCCCCGAGGGGGAGGCGGGTGGGGTTGAAGGAGGGTAATCCCATGTAAAATGGGGGAAGATGACTGTTAAAAACGATAATCTCCACCCTTCGTCATATGGGGGTACTCCCCGGAAAATGATGCCCAATTCCTTTTTCCTTCGACTGGAAAAAATTAAATTAACTACTTTTTTGACTTACGTCGGCGTAGACATCGTAATTGTTTTCTTTTTCTTTTTTCTTTTTTTGCTAACTGTTAGAAATTCTTCTTTAATAAAAAACCTTTACACACTTACCTTTGCAACCATAGATTTCCACTCTCATGCATACACTCCCACGATAGGTTAATGCTTTGATTCTAATCATAGTGGCCAATATTGGATGTACTGGACGTTCAATAACAGCAAGTGTGGACGTAGAAGCACCTTTGAAAACCTTAAAGAATTATCTTTAGTTTGACATTGATCGTAGTTTTGTCAACAAATACAAACCCTGGCATTGTTTTGAGGCGAACTACGTGCAAATGCAATGTCATGGATTAGTAAAAAAAATAATATTACAAGTAATTGGTGCGTCAGTCTGTCAGTCAGTAAGCTAGCCAGCCAGCAAGTAAGATTCTAGTCATATTTAGAATATACCTTTGATTTTCCATCTTGTCGATAAATTTCCCATTCAGGGCTTTCTCTGCGAAAGAAAAGTTCATAGGTTTTCACATATTCGGCAGCGGTTGGATTTCCTTGCATAGCTATAGCAGTTATTCTATGGAGAGTCTTGAAATCTATCTCCAGATAACTCTTATAAATGTCTGTGCCACACCAAGCACTAGGTCCGTTCAATCTTGCATTTCCTGGTGGGTTGTCAGGCTTGCTGTCAGGAGACGTTAGGGAGTCATTGCTGATTTGTCCATTTTCCATACCAAGAGGCTGCTCACAATCTAATAGGTCCAGGGAAAATGAAAAACACAAATAAACAAACATAGTAAAGACAGGCAAATATAGGTAGTGACAACAAGCAAGCAGAGTACGAATATCCACTTTAACGTACAAAGAATAAACAACTAAAATAAACAACTAAAAAAAGTCATTCGCTATAAACATAAACATTTAACCAACCAAACAAACAAACAAATAAGCAAACAGACGAAAAAACAAACAAACAAGCAAACTGGTTGAAGAATCAGCACAAGCAGGAGGGCAGTCAAAGGCAGCCAATAAGCGAGAATATTAATATTATCGACTGCGTCGATGCAAAGAAAATACAGATATTTCAAAAAGGCGTTATCGTCTATTGCCTATAGCCTTTGGCGATGACAACATTTATTGAAATAGGTGTATACTAGCCACTCAATGGTTAGTTATCTGAAAGCTTAAAAACTGAGAGCGTCAAGTATTATGGGTAGATGGATGTCACGTGCTTCATCCGCTCGATAACTATTGATGGAGTTGATATCTTTTACTAGTTACAGTTTCATGTCCAGTGGTTGGCCTTTAACGCCGGGCGGAAATTCAAACAATGATATTTTTTAGTTTTTGGCATTTTTCTCCTTGTGTATGTTTTTTCTGATATTTCAGAATATTATCCGCCATGATCTATAGGCGTTAGTTGGTGACTAACTTAACACCTAATTGCAGGAACTTTGTCATATAAAAACGAAAAAAATTATATAATAAAAACTAGGAGTTAATTAGAAATAATTTCAAACATTTTGATTCTGAAGCCTATTATGAAAACTATTTAATTTATACTGAACAAGGTAATATCAAAACTTTCAGTGCATACCTGACAAACAGAAAATAATTTCTCCTGTTTTGCAGAAAAAATAATTAATTCCTATTTGCTAATGTGTATTTTTATATGATAACAACGTTCCTGCATTTAGGCCGGTGTATTCAAATAATTGTAAATGAAAGTGATTCGAGTATTTTGAACACGGTAAAGATTAAAGATAAGCTTACATTTTATTCCGTATAACTCCATTCGTAAACCGATTCTTCTACCATTCCCTTCTTTGACCACTAACTCCACGTATCTTGTTGTAACGTTATTGCGAAAAGTGTACCGAACAGTGGTAAATCGGAGATGATTTCCTTCAAACATCTGAAGATTAAAAGTACGGATGTTTTGAGAGGATATCATTTCCTAATTCGATCTATCGGTAGTGTGGTGTGGTGCGATGCGATGCGATGCGATGCGATGCGATGCGATGCGATGCGATGCGATGCGATGTGATGCTGTAGGACACCAAAAGACCTTGATAGGTGGATACAATGGATACACGGATGGAGAAGATGGATGGATAATAATAATAATAATAACAACTTTATTTAGACACGAAAGCTCTATCAAACTTAAGTACAATGATATAAAAAGTCTCATACAAAAGAACTTAACTTTGGTCTACCTAGAGGCCGTGTAGAATATAACAGTAAAAATATRAATACTATTTACACATTATATTGTAATATGCTAAACTATCATTACGAAAGAGAAAAAACAGATTCTAAATAATTAATTTGATAAAATCAATYYTTATAACTATTGATGCAGAGATCATACTGTTTAATTCTCTTTTTAAATTTTGAGAGGGAGCGCTCCTCTTTCAAGGAATCAGGTAAGGAGTTCCATAATTTTGCACCAGTGTACGCAAAACTTTTCTTATAGATATCGGTTCTGACCTTGGGAAGTTGGAAATTGTTTGCAGAACAGCGTAAAAAGTAAGAATAGGTTCCGAGGTGATTTTGGAACATATCTTTCATATAGGGTGGGGCTAAACCATAAACAATTTTAAACATCATTACAGCTTTCTGCTGTAATCTTAGACTTTCGCAAAGTCCGCCGCCCGCTTTGTTCTTTTTTTACTGGGCGCACGACGGACTTTTCGACCTTGCTTCCCGCCAAATTTACCGACCCANNACGGGAGCGTAACAAGCGTAACATAGCAACGGGTAGACTTCTCAAGTGGTAAATCAAATTAGATCCCTCCTCCTCATTTAATGCATACCGCTGTTTTCCAAGACCACATACCCATTTATATAAGTTAGGCTCGTTTATAAGTCAACTATTCATAGATGACATTAAAAGTCTGTGGGATTTTAAAATATTGGTATTGTTCAAGTTGAACATTCTTTCATTACAGTTGATGTTTGTGGATAATCACAGGTAGCTCAAGCTAGAGGTGTTATATTGTAAGAAATGTGAAATAAAGTAAAGAAATCTTAGCTGACTTTGAAAAGTAGTACCTCAATCGCCCTGTGTACTTAAATTTTGGATTTAATTTAATGATGTTTTTGATGATGGTGGTGTTTGTGATGATGATGATGGTGGGGGTGATGATGGTGGTGGGGCTGATCATGATGATGCTGATAATCATAATTTTGATGATGATGATGATGATGATGATAAAGAAGATAACCTTACCTTAGGGTTTCCTCCTTCATTATACGTCATCCATTCCAACATGTCATCACTAAACCTAAGACTATATCTTCTTACGTAGTGATTTTGACCTTTATATCTCTGTGTCGCTATTCCTGTTATGATGGCAGAACTTGGTCCCAGGTCAACTCGGAAGAACAAAGATTGTTCTGGAATGCCTGGAATGTCTCCAATATAACCATAATCATGATTTAGTCTCCCATAACTAGGATAATAACCGCTATAACGATGATTACTAATAAGAGTCATAGTCTCTCCAGCTTCCATTCCAAGTCCATCTGAAGCAGCTAAAAGTGAATCAAAAGCAAACTTAGTATTGATAATCCTCGACTTCCTTCGATAATACTCGAATATATACAGCGTAGATAGGACTAGACAAGGAAATTTTCACCTCAGATTCTGAATCAGGATTTCCTGTGAAAACCTGCGGAGATGGCTTATGTGGGGGCCACTCATTCACTTTGAATTATTACTAGATTTCAATCAAAGGACCTTGGTGAACACACACACTCACACACACACACTCACATATATGCCTCGTGTGGTACTATTTACCTTTACACCCGTATAGCTCCAGTCGTAGACAAGCAGACTCTCCTATCCACTTAGTTGGTAATACTCGAATATATACAGCGTAGATAGGACTAGACAAGGAAATTTTCACCTCAGATTCTGAATCAGAATTTCCTGTGAAAACCTGCGGAAATGAACAAGACGTTAACATGAAAGTACTCTAACCGCTGTATTCTCATCGGTCTAACTGTACTGTATTGTATTGAGAATGGAAGCTGACTTGGGGGAGCTCTTCAAAGTACCACAACAGCGCAAGGGAGAGAAAGATGGGAAATGATGAAATGAGGAGCGCAACCGGACGTCGGGGCGTTCAATTTTCATCGAACTTAGCAAGTTTGAAATGATGTGACCGATTTGCTAATAAGTGCTCATTTTTATATTGGTATTAATGGATAACGATGATGACGATGATGACGATGATGACTTTATTTACAAGAGGGATAAGACGTATTAACTTACAAGAGTTATCTAAGATACGGCCCTCGGAAAAGAAAAAGCTGGTAAGTATAGCTCAATTTATTAAGGAAGAAATTATGGAGCATCAATTTAAGCGCGGTTAATCTAGAGGCTAGGGCCTCAGGAGTAGGTGCTGTAGGGCGCTCAAGCAAGATGAGACCGCTGAGAATAGTTACAACCGTAGGCTTTGCACTATCACGTGATGGGAGCAATGCAGAAGGAAGGAACAATTAAATCTGGTCTAATCTGATTTACATTAAAAATAATTCAGTTTCCCAGTGCGGAAATATTCTATTGTTATGATAAAGGATGTAGATAACTGTCAATCTTACCTTTTTCACGCCGTTTTCTTTGTAAGTGAACCACTCATCGCCATCTGTACTAAAACCAATAGTATACTCTTGCACCCAGTTGTCGGAAGTACTTGAAAAGCCTTGTGTAGAAATGTGACGAATTTTATGAGTGTTCCAAAGATCCACCTGAAGATAAGGTGCGGAATCTGATTTGTTTGCGCACCAGGCTCTTCGCGGATTCTTGAGCCGAGCAAGCCAGGGCTGGAAATCTGAGCCCGCGTTGCTAGAAGATGTCATTTGTTGATTTGGAATTCTTCCGTGGCTGAGTCCAATATCTCCCATGCATGCTGAATAGATGAATTAAAAGTGAAGAGATGTTTGATATAGTAATATATAATTCAGTTTAAGGACTGAGCCAGTTTTTTTTTAAAACGTTTTACATAAAGCGCCAAGCATGTTTGACCGACACAAGAGCTACATCAGTGTAGTTTGTCACACTTGAGGACCTAGGACCGAAACAAATGACGGTTGCGAAGGAGACCGTCGTTGAAAATGATGATTCAATGAGACTAGCTTAGTTTTATTTATTAAAAAAAGAAAGAAAATAGTACTCTGCATTCATAGACTAACCACTGTGGTGTACAATCAACACAGGGATCCCGGGTAGTGTTAACATACCTTCGCAGCCTAGTATTTCTAGTCTTGAACAGTGATTGTACAATGAAGTCCTTGGCCTGTATGACACGTAACGAGCTTTTGGCTTCGGAAAAAGACTTGAAGTTTTGATGGTATTTTCGTCCCTATTGGCAGTTAGTATCTGAAATATGGATGTAATTGAAGTGATAGTTAGCCACAGACTGCGAAGTACCAAACTTGATTTGCAGGGAATTACGAAGTACCTAATTTCATAGTCGTATCAATCTTAGAATTAGATTGCGTATTTTCCTTGCAAGTCCAAAAATTTGTTAGGATTTTGAGAAACAACACGAACGCTTTAATTTTGGCAAGCCTAATGCCATCATCAATGTTAGGAAAACAAAACAAAGCAAGACTATATATAAATATACGACCATAATTACAAAAGAAATTAAATAATATACTACTTAAATAAGATCTTAAATCCCAAGTGAAACACGTTGATTTAAGCTTAAATTATTTATATAATGCTCGCGTTTTTTCCTTTAAATGACATATTTTCTCATTCAAATTCTTTTATGGTATTGATTATCTTGCTCAGTTTTGTTATCCTCACCATGATAATGGCAGTAGAACTACATGCCGAAACATGACTCTCAAAATTAAAATTTTTCGCTTTGTTTCTCAAAATTCTCACCACATTTCTGCTACAAAGACCACTTGAAGTCCTAAAATGCAAATAAACTTCTTAGAAAGCTCGGCGGAAGTCCGAGGGACAGGTTAGCTTGCCCCTCGTTTTGCATATGATTGGCTCATCTCATATTTTGCTAATTACCCAAACGCCCTTTGTAATTTTTTTCTTACTGGGACGTATTTGAAAAACCTCACCGTGATGTATTTATACATGCATGCTTAGGGTTAAATCAAATTTGATGTATCATTTTCTTAAAGACACTATTATTGTTATTATTTCTTGGAAAGGATAAGATGTAATATTTCAAAGCCGAAAATGGGGACCGGACGGGATTTCAAGTCCAAGTAATTAGTTCGCCTCGGACTGGAACTTATTGCGTTAACTTGAAATCCTGTCCAGTCCGATATTGGAGGCTTTGAAATGACTTCTCATGCTCATTATTATTCGACTTGGAGTAACTGGAACAAAATTAATTCAATCCTAGGACTGAATTAATTTTGTTCCAGTTACTACAGACTGAATTCAGTCCTTTCACATGACTTTACCAGGTTTCAAGAAACATCATGTGACCCAAAAATAGCCCATTGATTGGCTGGTTTCTTCATGATGAATTATTAATGAGAGTATGAGAAAATATAGTCCCTTTCTTAATTCCTATATTTTTCTACGGGTTCTTTAGTTTCCCTCCGCTTCAAAATCCGATCTGTGAATTAGCCATGCCCTGTCTCTGATCAGCCCAGAGGTTGTTTCAGGGTTCGATCTGTGAGTTAGCCATGCCCTGACTTTAATCAGACCAGAGGTTGTTTCAGGGTTCGATCCGTGAGTTAGCCATGCCCTGACTTTAATCAGACCAGAGGTTGTTTCAGGGTTCGATCTGTGAGTTAGCCATGCCCTGACTTTAATCAGCCCAGAGGTTGTTTCAGGGTTCGATCTGTGAGTTAGCCGTGCCCTGACTTTGATCAGCCCAGAGAATGTTTCAGGATTTCGATAAAATTGAGTTTGATCAACACGAATAAGGAAATCGTGCACGGCATAACTAATTATTATTTTAATTATTATCAATAGGCATCATACCTTATTGGCACTTCCTTTTTCTCCATATGTCCTCCACTGTATCCCATCAATACTGTAATCCAAAAAATATGTCTTGACAAAAGCTGGCGAGTACTTCTTTCTAGTTATGGTACATGTAGTAACGTTCTGAATTTGTCAGAAAACAAGTTGGTTAGTCTGTGGTTCTAAGCTACGTTAAATGGCAAACCGTCGTTTCTAGCTTTGTAACGCATCCAATTACATGATTTTTAATGTCGTGAAAATAAGACACATATCCTTCAAAGTCCTGTCAATGGCCCGTTTTCCATATGCGGAATTTGAAAATGATGAAAGCTAGACTTTGGGCGCTAACCACTCACTGCTAGGGATCGGGCCCCGAAACATGCACGCCCGCAAACACAGAGACACGCTCAGCATCAATAAACTTCATTACATGGCGGCTCTTCCAGCAACAACTTCGTTATGACGTCTTGCTAAAATTTAAAAGTTTAACGAAAAACGCCTGACGCCAAACCGCAGTTTGAGGTTTGCGGGGCTAGCAATAACGCCGTGCTAAAGGTCTCTATTATCGACACGAGAAGGATAAAATCCATATCTCCAAGCGCCTATGTAATATTCTGATTAAGATATAATTATCGATGATATACAATTTTAGAATACGTACAAATGCAGTTATTCCACATATGAAGATATTCAGCAGTAAGACCTCGAGCCCGAATGGGCTATAGAGTCATAGAGTATGAGGACGAGAGGACTAATTGTTTTAGTCAAATCCAGCTAGTCGGTCAAATATATAGATGCAAACAGTTTTTGATGTAATGTTTCAAATACGAGTTGCTGCATTCTATTGGGGTTTCAAAATCCCGTAGCCGCGGGATTTGAAATTCCACGAGGATTTTGAAACCCCAATAGAATACAGTGACGAGTATTTGACTGTTTTTATTTCAAAGTTCTAGTACTTTGAAATATTTCAAAGTCCGAGTAGTAGGACTTTGGACCAGTAGGATATAATTTATAGCCTAGTAGTAGCTCATTCAATCAGAACGCAGCGTTGATGATGAAAACCACACTGTTTCATCGATTATTATATACTAAAGAGAGTTATGTAAGACTAGTGTACGCGGGGGATCTCTGGTCTGTCGAGTTCGTTTTATTCAGCCTTGTATTAGACGTTACTTACAAGTTGATTTGCAGAATCAAATACAAAAAGCATTATTCAAGAACAAATCATTCCTAAAATTCTGTTGCATGACAGTTAGTTTAAAGAACTTTCCCGTTCCCTCCCATCTTGAGATTTTCAATGTACAAAGAAAGCTTATGTGTAATTAATTTTTTGAAAATTATGCTTGCATTTTCGATAAATAGGCCGTTGCATGATGAGGGCGAAATAGAACAGTTTCGTATGACGTTGAAAAGCTCGGTACCGTATGCGTGCCCTGCCGCGAACGTCATGTTTCTAGAAACTTGATTGGCTAAATCCGGATCCGAAGGAGACTGGCAGTGCCGTAGCCTTGGCGTGACCGTGTCCACGCCGTGTTCATGCTGTGTTTCGGGTATTTAACTGGATGAAAAATAAATTATTGCGCAATTTGTCTGGCGTATGCCTTGCAGTATCACGCCTGCGTTTGTGCCACGAGCTTTACAGTCATACGAAAATAGCTCTAGTGTGATGGTGATTCTATATTCTATATTCTGCAAAAGCGAATTTAAGTTTATACAAGTAGAGCAATACTTACATTTTCATCGGTTTTCTTGACCAGCGTTGGGTCTGAAGAACTGAAAGAAAAGTAACGACAATTTTATGCAAACACACAAACACACACACATATAAATAGATATATATATATATATATATATACACTTGATTGCAGAAAGGTTGTAGTATACATTTATACAAATATGTGTTTCTGTTTACTTTAACACATCAGTAAAAAAAAGGTTTCACTTATTGGAATTTTAGTTTAGGCGTTAATCGTATTATTTTATTTCAACTTGCATCTTTCCTTGATTCTTTTGATTTAAAATATCCGAAGATAAAACTATATGCGATTGTGCGCACGTACAGTGTGTCTAGAGTGCTAGAAGTATCCCACATGGAACATCAGCATTTCATTTACTCATATAAATATCAAAGTAGTCTATATACTGAAAGTCATGTTTATTCATAAAAGCCTAAATTTATATGCTACGAAGTATTACCGTTAAAATTCGCATGCCACAACACCCCAGAACAAGAGATTGGGCTTCCTGTGCTCAGATGAGTTTAAAAAGGAATATTAAAAAACCCACTAAAGTTTGCAAAGCAAAGCTAAAGCTAAGGTCACAGCACCCAAATCCCATGCGATAAATTTCATAGTAATTCATTCTAAACCGCCCTAGCCTAAGTAAAAGGTAACAACATACCTGCAACTTGCTGACTCCGTTTGGTAATAATAATAGAGTTTTGAGTTTGGGTTTCCTTGAGTGAGGATGGCGTCTATTATGTGTACTTTACCAAGGTCAATACGTAAGTAAGCCTCATGGCTCTTTCCAGGCGGGCACCAGGAGCCTCCCCCCAAATATTTGTTTAACCTGGCTCTGTATGCCTCGTAACCCTTTTTGAGAATTTTCGGCGTTGAAAAAGATGAATCAGGTATTCGGCCATCTTCAAATCCCAATGGATTTCCACATGCTGTTCAAAAGAAACGTATATTAAAAATCATGCGTTCTGAAAGTAAAAAGTGCTGCGGTTACAACCGGACTAACCGTACTGGTAGCTACGGCCTGTGGCAATCTGTCTGGGCTGCGTAGTTGGTATTAAAATTAGATATATAGATGACACGAAACATAGAGTTACCTTTGCATCCATACGCCTCTATCCTAAGGCAAGTATAAGAGCCACGCGAACGCAGAGGTCGAAATCTAAGAAGAAGCGCTCTTACTGGAATTGTCAGGTCATTGCGGACGACTTCGCTCTCGTCACCGAGGTTTCCATTGAAGACCTATTCGGAAGAAAAAGAGTATTATGATAGTAAGTCTGTAAGTGCAAGGACCGAAGACCCGCGCAAAAACCCTACATAGGAATAGGTTTGATAATAAGCAGACTAATATGCATAAGTAAAAAATAGGAATTGAGATTTAGAAATTTATTGGAGGGGGTATCGCTCCCCCACCCCTTCCCGCCCACAGACCTACCTCTCCGCGATCCCCTTGATCGAAATAGATCATATATGATAGTGTTTTTTTTTGAATGATCATCCCGAGGTATTCACTGATATCCTAGGGAGACCATTCAATCATTTTAAGGAGTATATAACGCGAGCGCAATCATGCCACTATACTGTGATGTGAACACGCTTGGCCGGAGCTGTAGAGCACGAGAGAAACGAGTTGTGTTTGCGCGAGCGTGTCTCTATCCTCTGAAATAAACACGGTAGCCATCCAATCAGCGCGCGTTGTTTTTCCTTTTTTATACTAGGTTAGATTAAAGATGAACTTTGAACATCACCTTGACTTTTCCATCTTCCATGTAGTCCCACCACTCCGTTTCGTCTTCACTAAACTGCAGCTTATACTCCAATACTTGTCCGTAGCCGACCGATCCTTGGGTCGCAACACCAGTGATGAACCGCTCTTCTTTAAACTTGACTTGTAGATAGCCCTCATTGCTAATTGATTGGCACCAACCCCCACTCTTATTGAGTTTGGCATCGGCAGCTTTACGGTTGCTGAACTCTATATCAGCGCTTAAGATGGTTTCACCATTTTCAACCCCTAACGGACTTGAACATGCTGTGAAGAGAGAAAATGAAACAGTTTCGCGTAAGAAAAAAACAAACAAAAAAAACAACAGGACAAATAGACAGACAGACAGATCAACACAGAAGAAACATCCGGAAAGGATGACAGATAGACAGACAGATAGACAGACAGATCAACATAGAAAGAGAGACAGACGAAAGGATGAAACATAGATCAAAGGTACCGTTACCATTTGCTGACACTGATTGCAAGCAAGACACCTGTTAAAAGAAAACGTCAAACATATTTTAAATCAAGATGAAAATTTCAAACATTTCTATATATTCCATGTCAGGTCGTCTTAATTGTCGTACTAAAAAAATTGACAAAAAAGGCTAACATACCCAGAGAAATACGATTGATAGCTTGATCGTCAAAGCCCTTAAGACAAGAGGTTTGGAGAGACTGTTTTCGTTCATTCTTAGGATGTGCTAGCTTTCCGTCACATCTACATTCGTCTGTAAAAGAAAGATATAAAGTGGAATGATTTAATAATGAAATTGTCAACGACAATGTTTTTTCTCGACGTTTCGATGCTATTTAGGAGGAGTCAAAAATAGTTCGAATAATTGTGAAGAAAGATATCCTAAAAACAACCTAAGGGACGAAACATTAAATAATTGAGGAGGGGGTTGCGTAATTCCCCCAAAAATATCGAGCAAGTATGCGAAAAATATATCGCACAACCTCTCCTTTCAACAAAGAAATATCGAGCAAACACACACAAAAAATGCGTGAATGGGTGGTCACGAAAATATAAATATTCGTGCAACACAAATTTCGCACTCCCCCTTCCCCCTCAATTAACTAGTGCTCCATCCCTAACTTAAAGTTTGTGTGCGGACACCGACAAACCGGGACCACTTGATCAAGGTTAACCAATCACGACGTAAATTGAAAAAAAAAAAAGAAATTATGGTTGTGATGGTGGATCGTTGACGTCATTACCGGAAGTTCCATTTACGTAGTTATCAATCATACTACCTGCTACTTTGGAATGTTTTAGCTTTTTACTCGGGAAAAAAAATGATAATATTTTATAAATCTTTTTGTTGTCTTCTGTTCTTAGCGTGAACCGAGTTTAATTTTAGCGCGGATGGAATATCTTTTAATGAAAACATCGAGGAAAGAGTAATATTAATTCCCATGAGCTTAAAGGTGAATAAATTTTAGTCTCAACTTTATGACTATTTCGATCGGATCTTAATTTATTCTAATCGAAGTGAGGCTCCTTCAAACACGAAGATGTTGCCGGAAACAAAATCGCCATTTTGTTAGTTTCGGAAAAACTTTTGAGACCACAGGGAGCCCAAGCTTATTTTTTTAGTTGTTGACAATAAATCGAACACAACAAAACAGTAGATGAAAACATTCTCGAATTTTCAAAAGAAGAAGAAGAAGAAAAAGAAAAAGAAAAAACTATCTATTGTTAACAACATAAGGGGTTTCTTTTGCCACAACATGAAAAAAAAAGTCAAAGACATCTCTTCTCGCAGAAACGATTCAGTCGGAAAAAAGGAAAAATGAAATACAGCGGTACGCGCCAGTATATGGAACCACTAGAGGTCCAAACAAAATGATACCGTTAAGTGTTTAAAAGAACAGAAGAAATAAGCAATTTGGGCACCTCACCTGTTTTAAAAGATAATGGGAATAGACAAGTCAATGCTAAGCAAAGAAAAGGTCTTTTGTTAGGTTTCTAAGATAATTTATAATGCTAAAAAAACATACTCGGCGACTGATAACTGAGAAATTGCTAGAGATTTCAGGCATTTTGTAGGGGGAATCACTTCTCGCTCATATAAAGTACAGTGATAAAATAACAAATTTAAAGTAAAACAATATAGTAGATCTGAATATATATTGGCTAAATGGTAAAGATATATCAGTCAAGTCATCCTTTAAATTTATCCTTTAAATACTCGTGTTTTTATGGGTGACCGTGGGCGTAATTTTATTATTATTTTTTGGGGGGAACGAAGAGATTTAAAAAACGTAATTCTTCTTAATTCTTCTTTTGTTTATTATCTCGTTCAAATTTTAGATAAGCTTCTTGTGATCTGATACACCTTTATGATTAATACTGAAGGTAAATTTATTTAAAAGGAAAAAGACAAAAGATGGTTATTATTTTAGTGAAGGCCAATTTTAGAAAGTGCTTCATGTGGTTCTCAACTCTTGACTTTCAGGACTTTAGGTCCACGAAGTACATTTAAGAAACAGATATCATAAAAAGTACCAAATGTAACACTATTCGTATGTGAAAACAAACCTCATCCGAAATAAAGACATCAGTTTTCCTTAGTTGGAGTAAACGAAAAATCAAGGTTTGGAAATTACGGATTCACTTAACTTGTTTTGTGTTAAAGATTAATATTTTATGATTGACAAACATCAATACTTGTTCTATTTTGTTAGAAAAAAACGAGGACCGTTTTGCCATAAACTCTTGGACATTTTAGCTTGTCATTCAGTGAAACACATGATTTCTGATCTGAACACACTGTTGATTAAAGACGAACGCCCTCGCAACAGCAAGGGAAAATATATACTTTGGCACTGTTTGTGTGTTAGAATACTGAAACCGGCATTACAGTAAAAAACTTGCCCATATATTTTAAAAGTGTTTCAGAAAAGCTTAACCGGGACAATATTTAAAAAGTTCATGTTTCAATATATGCAGTTTTTATTCAAGTTTAGCATTTATGTTTTTTGACTTATTTAAGAAATCGTGCTGCTTATCAGGTCATATATGAAACATTTCAGGGTTTTCAGGGATCAAGTCGGAAAAAAAAAACTTGTCCTAGAAAAACTGTTTGCGTGTGTGTGTGTGTGTCCAGAGAACTACTGACATATTTTTCGGCCAACTCTTTCTAGAGACTGAAAACGTCCTTCAGAAAACATAAGAATATATAAACAAGACCTGATCTCTAGATATTGCATTCCGTGCAAAAGCTTGTGCGTGTCATATCAGTGTACAACTGATATTAACAATCCACTTGATCTATTCCGTAAGCTCCAAAAAAAACATGTTTTTTAGTTGTTGTTATGGCTTTCCTAAATCTTATGCTGCAATATCCCAAATTTTTGAAGTAATAATGTTAAATTTTTGAAATATTCATCAAGGGAATTTTTTCATTTTCTTTGAATTCTAATGGTATCTTCGTGAAATCTCCTTCAAAATTAATCCTCACAGACCACATAAAGTGATTCAGTCGTACTAAAAATTTCAAAAGTTTTAACGAAAGTTATACATAAAAACTTCCCAACGTTTTATCCACTGAAATTTTACTTTTTAGTGAGTAATGAAAACCTTTACAATTAAAAAATACTCACGCGAGTGTAGGCTTCAAGAACTTGCTTGAATAAATCCCGAAAAGTCCAGAAAAAGTTAATAAGAAGATCCGTGTACTTAATGAAACAAAGCAAGATACTTTTTGCTAAATTTCATCGAATCTACCCTATGTTGAATAAATCCAATTTATCATTCGTTCGATAAGTGTTGCTATGGGATAGCTGATGTGGATGACTGATATTCATGATTCTAGGCCCCCAGCAACAGAAAGACGTAGGTATAATAGATACAAGAGATATTAATATAGTAATGAACTACTGGTGAAGTTAGACGTAAATAGAGATATTGAAACAATTGTGCGTAGTTAAAGCAATTTTATACTGCTTGACTACGAGATGGTGAATGAACACTTGGAGGGCAAGATGAAACGGTTTCTTTGCCGCCAAAGAACAAAGAATAAAAGACCCACAGTACGTAGACAATAAACAACCTTTTCCCTCCTTTTTATAGATATAGAACTGCTGTAAATGTAGTCAAAAATTTCAAGGTACGATGTAAAGTTAGAGGTACGTTATAATAAGTCATAATTCATTATTAAATAAAATCATCAAATCATCTTTGATTTGTCATGTTAATTTTTCGCTTTCAATCCTGCGTGCATCCTTTTTTGCCGCTTTCCTGCCTTCTTTTAATCCAAAGTCATTTGGTGAAGTAACTTCAATTAACTTCAAGCCTTAGCTATTCTAACAATCTGCCTCTTCCTCATTCTCGTCGATGTATTCTTCAGTCAACAAAATCATCAGTGCAACTTTATTATACTTTTTACTATCACGTGATGGCAATATTGCCATAGTTTTCCAAGCAATGCTTTCCTCGGACTTTGCGATATTTTTCTCCGCATGCAACAGGCCTTGCATGATGTAATCCAGCTGTTTCTCCTTTATTTTCAACATTTCATGACTTTGGCGCGCTTTTTCAAACAGCGCTTCTTGTTTCGTCCCAGGCCAGTCTTTGTACTCTGGACATTTGATTTCCACCCACGGTTCAGTTGTTTGCTTCTCTTTACTAAACAATGATCTTAGTCTATCCATCATGAATCCTGCCATGACGAACTCCTCCGAATCAGGATCGACTCCAGTGCACTCTTCTGCATAAGAGTCGGCTATAACAGCTATGAACATGTTAAGAAGAAAGAACATCATAGCAAATATGTAGAGTGTGAAGTAAACGGGTCCCAAGACTGGATCTACTTGAGACAAATCGGTAAAGTATCCCTTGCCAAGCATCATCGTCAACTGGCTTTGAAGCGCCAAAATATAAGTCGAAAAGTCTTCCATTTTAGTGCCAAAAGTCACATAAGCAAAGATGGAGAATGCCGTGAAGACTAACAGAGCCTGAAACCCAATGATGGCAACGTCTTTGAGGCAATTTGAAATTGTTCTGGACAGGATTGCAATATGGCGGTTAAATTTCATGAGACGAAGGAATTTCATGGTCGCTATGAATACAATGATCCCTATAACATAAACATTGACCTCGTGCCATTTAGCGATGTACTGAAAACTCACAAAAAGGAAGGGATTTTCTTGTAGTTTCTGGATGGCTTTGGCAGTGAATGTGAGACGAACTATGAATAAGCCAACAGCAGCGTAGCACAGTCCAAGCTGAGCGCTTTCAAGGAGGTTCCATTTGTTCCTGAAGTACTTCAACCCCTCAGTTTTGATTTTCTTACAGGTGTAGAAGGTCAGAATCAGGCAGATGATGATTGACAAGACTTCACAGAATATCAGAAGCATTTTGGATGGTCCAAGGTGCAGGTAAAGCTTGAATGTGTCGACTTTAACAAACGAAGAACCACTTCCGGTTCCGGTGATCTCAACAACATACGTAACCATGCTAAACAAGTTCACGTGTGGATCAAATATGGTAAATTCCACCACCACAGCTCTGGACAACTCGTCAACCCAGTTGTACTTTTTCAGTGTTGACGCTACATCTGCTGCCTGCCACATTTCGTAACCCAAATCAGCGGTGAAGCCTCCCCCGTTATACACTGCCTTGTGTCCCCATAATGGGATTCCGTCTAGTTCCCAAGACGTTTGGTACCTCCAAGGGATGGGACAAGCTTCGCTGGTCAGGTTGCCTGGTTCTTTCCAGCCAGGGAGGTAGTAGGATGTGTCTTCATTCGGTATGGAATATTCGCCGACGCAATGTGTTGTTATACTTTTGACTATCGTTAACGTGCAGTTTTCTATATTATTAAACAAACAAATAGCAATAAATAAATAAAACAACAATTTTGTCTAACTTTGAAATAACCCCTTATCTAGGTCAGGGCACACCTAACTCACACATTGAAATGGAATTTAGTATTCTGGGTTTCAGTGCGGAGGAAAGAACTTGAGAACATGAAGAAAAACCCTTGTATCCAGGGAGAGACCCAAAAACTTTACTCACACGTGATGCCGAGTCCAGGTATCGAACCTGAGCCCAAAGATATGAGAAGTGAGTGTACCAAACAGAATAAAAAACATAAACCAAAACCAAAACGAAACTGCTGATAAAAATTTACCTTTTTTGACTCTCACTTGTCGTAATCTAGGCATTCCAACCATATAGTATTTTTTCTCCTCTGTAAATCCTTCGGCACCATCAGCTCTGCCGTTGTACCATTGGCGCGAGAAGCTAAATTTCAGAACAGTGTTTTCCACGAAAGTCCACAAGGTGACGTTATCATTGACCTGAAAACAATTTTATTTTAAACTTCGTTAAATTACGCATCCTTACCGACAGAGGCTAATTAACAATTACACCCGAAGCCCAAATGTTTGTCTAAGAGTCAATAAGGAGCTTAAGCATCGACGACAAAACACACGACGACGACGACGACGACGAACGGAAATCGGATCGCTACATTTCTAGGGTACTGAGCATGTGCGTACAAGAGAATAGGTCGTCCTGTCTTAGTCGTCGACGACGGAATTTTCAATTACAAGCCCTTCACATAAAAACGTAGGTTATTATGCTCTTTCTACGCGTACGACGTTTTTTCCCGTAATTTACCGTAAATCCGAAAACGTACATAGTATAGGCTGAATATGAGTTAATTTATCCTTATGTTTGAATTATTATTTTGAGTTAATAAATATTAAATAATTGTTCGTCGTCGTCGTACAAAACTGCTGAACCTTTAAATTATCCCGCCGAAAACGAATTCCTCGCCCCAACCTTTTTCAGCATTGACGCCATTATTCAGTCGTCGTCGTGTGTTTCTTCGTCGATGCTAAGCTTCCTAATAGCCCGTGAGGTCGAACAAAGCTTCCCGAGCTTTTTAAGACATGGCGGAACCCTCATGCTGTCACCGTCGCCATCACAGTATCAGATTCTCATCGTCATATATTAGGGTCATTATTTTAGCAAACAGGACGGTGCTTACTTTTTCATGCTTGCATCGTCGTCTTCACGGCTGCTTTCATTTTATTAAAAAGTAAAAATACTACAAATTAATTCTGACATGGGCTATTTACCTGCTCGGTGAACATTGCTTTGATATTACTGGTTTGTCGGAAGGATTCATAATCTCTTATGGAGTAGCTAACACCCAATAACGCCAACAAAAATACAGCGAAGAATATGTTTTCCTTGATGATACCATGCATGCGTAACTCTTTCATCTTGTAATCTCTTGCTCTCCTGACCAGATCTTCATTAGGAGGCTGACAACGCGAGGCTATGGAAGCCATCATGTCCTCATTAAAAATTGAATTGCCAGGCTCTTGTACCTGAAGGGAATCTAGTTCTTGCTCTTTTGTGTCTTTTTTGGTAAACTCCTGTGGAATTTTTTTCAAGAAAGTTGCTATGAAGAGTGCTAAGAGAAAGATTTTTAATGGCTGCGTGACAAAAGCGTCCTGAAAGAATGATACCAGCATTGATGAGATCCACTTATTTGAAGTTTCTTTGCCCCACATCATGCTGTAAAAAAGAGTAAACGCTGCCGAAACCACTGTAGCAAGGACACAAAGAGTCCATGCTATATAAACCGTCCAATGGGGCAACCCCTTCTTCTCGGCATTAGAGCTTCCATCTTTTCGTTTATTACTTTGTGCGTCACCTTCATCTTGCCAAGTTGAATAGGGCTGTTTGTAGTTAGGTGTCATAGTGTTTTCTTTCGCTTTAGCTTTTTGGAAGATTTGCAAGATAATGATATTTATAGGCAACGCAATAAAGCTACTTTGAATTCCTATGATTATTTGTTTGATGCTGATTGTGATCGGACCAAGAGTTATAGAAGAAGTATCTGGTTCGTTTCCAATATTGTAGAACATGGCGTTGGTAATCATAGAAGTGAACAGCAAAGACATGCAGCAGGATAGACGTTGTACCCGAGTAAAGGTACTCTTGGGTGGCTTGGCCATTACCGAGATCCAAAGATGTCCATCACAGATATCCTTCTCAGTCTTTTGTCGGAATAAAGTCTTGAAGTTGGTCATCTCTTCTTTAGCACTTACTCTAAGTACCCTGTCAATTGCACCATCTTCCTTTTCCAAGGCAAACCATTGGTCACTCACGAAGTTGAATTGCGCTCCAGTTTTTATGTTACGAACGATGATATAGTTCAAGTACCAAGAAGAACTTGGCCCAGTCATATCGTGCCATATCCTCAAAAAATGAATTTTCCCAATGTCTTTGGGTAAGAGAACGATAAATTCATCTGTTCCTCCTCTATTGAATAGTGATTTGTATTTGTCTGTGAGGTGGATTGCTGCACTTTCACCTTCTTCGCCGATGACAGTAAGAAAGACATTAGAAGAGGTCCCGGAATTGCTCCATGATCCTGTTTGCACAATCACTTCGTAAGGATGGTCTTCCGTGGAGTCTATTGTTGATTTTATCACTGATATTCCACCCTAAAAATATAACAAACTCGAGTAAGAACGACTTTTATTGTTAGATACATCCTGTAGCTTGAACGTTGCGTTGACTTTAACCAGTATGAGTCGAACGGGTCGGCTTGCTGGTTCGAGCCCTGCTAAAGTTGGGGTAGGGAAAGGGCCTCACGACTTAAAGGGGCACTTGGATGAAAATGGATAAAAATTGGAAATGACTTTAAACCTAGTTAAAAGTATCTGTATGGCCCCAATAGTAGCCAAGCAACATATTTTACTCACAGTAAAATGTGTCGGATAAAAATTATCAATTTTATTTAGCATCTAAATTGTGAGTAAATGACATCATTTACTCAACCCTATTGTTCTTTTCTCTTTTAACCCAAAATTTCTCAACTGCAAGTGGCTCCAAGGCGAAGATTTTCACTAATCTGGTTTACATAATCATAATTGAATCTAATTATCCTCAAATACTTCAATTATTCGGACTTCGAAAATTGAGGGCGTTTTCATCCAAGTGCCCCTTTTTAAAAATTAAAAAAAAATTGAGCCCCAAATACGGGAGCAAAGTAGCAAGGCATAGTGCCGCTAAAGTTGTAAAGAATCTGATACAATTTTTTTTTTAAATCATCGTCAAAAATAAATTATAAATAACAATCACAACATACCCTAGCTGCATCTCGCTTGTCCAGCCTTCGCAGCCACACAGCTAGTATTGTATAGATACTAAATGCTGTGATTATGACTCCGAGAACCGCCATATTGTCTGAGATATTCGCAAACCCTGCGAAAACTTTGTCGAAGTCGATTGGATTTGGAGCTACAAGCAGGTCTCCCCCAAAAGAAGTTAGATGAGTACACTTACAGTGTACATGTTGGTATGTAGAGAAATTTCCTGTCTGTTGAAATATTTGTATACATTAAACAAAATGATGAAAAATTCATCAAAAGGACTAAAAGGTACAATTTCTAGCGTTTCGGCCATTCTTATGGAACAAAATGGTTAACTGATTTAAAGACGGGTCGGGTTCATTTATAGTTTATACTCAAATACTTACGCTACACCCTTGTTCACTCCACGTGTCATTCTGAGCATCCCAAAACAGACAAGGAGAATAAAACCTCTGTATGGTGTAGTTAAAATGAAAGCGAGGATCGTACTGGATTGGTCCTCCCATATTAGGTGAAGGTGATGGCGGAGGGGTCTTGTACTCCAAGCATGATCTCTTAGAGCGGCCACTCCCTTCACACGCCGATCTCCGTACTCTTTCTTTTTTATTGACCGGGTAATCGTCTAAGGTTTGAACTCCAAGAAAATATTTTCCAAGTTGATCGAGCCGAGTAGTGTCAATAAATATCGTATAGGGATCCTTTTCACAATCAGTGTAAGAAGTGCCTTTCGATTTACAGGAGGAAAAGTCAGGTAAACGTCCAACAAAGTCTTCACTGTTTAACTCGGGCCGCATCGCATACTTCCAGTATATACCAAAAGAAACTTTACCTTCAACTGGCAAGATTCTAATATTCATGGGCTTTAAAGAGGTGATATTGAACTGATGAAAAGCGAGACTCTGTCTTTCCTTGCTAATAAAGCTTGTTTCTGGAGGAGGAAATAATGAAGCTGCACGAGGTATGATGAGGTGGATTGGTTGTGATATCTGAGACACGGACAGAGTCTCCTGAACTGGATCTTTTAACTCGACGAGAAGCAGTTCTGTTTTGACTCGAAGCCAGTTTAAGTTCCAAGTAAAAACATTACGTTTCATTCTCATTGACTAAAAAAAGATACAAATAAAAAAAGTAAATAGGTGCTTAATTCAATGGAGTTAGTCTATGAAGCATCCAAGCTGAGACCATAAACAAACCTTGATTAGGCTGCCTGTGTTTTATATCTTTTTATCTTTATCATAACTTCCATACATTTCCTCATAAACCATACACAGGAACCCTGATTGAGCTGCCTGGGTTTACTCCTTACCTTAACACCTACTTGATCCATGCCGTGTGATGCTCCAAACAAAGTGTAAGAGTTCGGAAATCGAACAGAAGCTTTTCCAACGTTGAAAAACATATTGTCTATATCATCTGCGTTGATGCGCTGAAGTGACATGGATAGAATTGGAACATCAATTTTAAATGGCTCTTCGCCTGATGCAAGCCTGTTTAGTGATTCTTTGGCCAAGTCATCAATCTTTGCAATAGTATCTTTGGAAATCTGAACAGCCTGTCAATTTCAGAAGAAAATAAGTTAAATTAATGAACAAATCACAAAATTAATAAACAAATTACAAAATCCGTTATTTTGGATAGGAATGACGCAACTGAAAGTGCGTGTGCGTGCTGTGTGCTCTCATAAAGTACGAACTTCCAACCAATCAAAACGCGAGATTTATAACAGTTATTTTATATTTGCATTCTTAGCACGAAATAGCACTAGCTAAACATTAAAAAACGCATTAGTAATTCATGAAGGAAACACAATAGAAATCATGACCATGAAGGAGGTTTTATATCTGATATAGATTCGTCTTCATTTGCATAAACTTTAACTTGGATTTTCTYTATCAAACTTGGTTCATTTCGTAAAGAATTCGGTACAGTATGAGAACATACATCATGAGTTTTTTAAGCCGTTTAATAAACTCGCAGATCGTGTTTTATCGGGTCTAAAACCACTCGGCTACGCCTCGTGTTTTATACCCGATAACACACTCCTGCTCGTTTATTAAACAGTACATAGAATACAAAAGAATTAGCATGATTCGCCACTATGTAGTACTATTTTGGTTGCATGCTTTTAGTGTTTCTAAGGGGGTTTTAGCAATCAGAGTTTATATTAATTTTTTTTTTTTCAAAATTGAGACAAATATATAATACATAATGATATATATAAGAATATAATGACACTGGCATAATCCTATACGTACCTCTAGACGAATTATATAATATAATGATATATATAAGAATACAATGACACTGGCATAACACTATACGTACCTCTAGACGAATGTCGCTTGGACGTGACGTCTCACCTAACGTCAGGTTTGAATTTGGAAGCGTTATGTTTATGTCTTTCAAGCCTGGTATATAAGGCACCTTTGCGGAATCTGACGAGGCTGAAATAGTATTACTCAACCCATAGAAAAGAATCTGTATTGTGTCCGCCACAGTAGTCTCCGATACGGATCGATCACGTGACTGGTCAATAATGAAATCCGACATGTCAGACAAGGAGTTTAGGCAGTGCCTCTGTAAAAATAGATGTCATATTTGTTGGATGAAGGATTGAATGTTGTGGCTAGTGTGCACGTGCTACCCATCGACATCAATCCCACAAACGATAGGAGAAGCTATATTGACGAGGTTTCATATTGTGCAAGACCCGAGTTTAATTACCGTTTTCATTGAGGTAAATGGACAAAAGACTACCGTTAATCAAACAAATCGTTCCCATGTACCTCAAGGGATCCCATTCATTTTTATTACATAATCTAACGATTGACTTGATTGATGGTAGTTTTTTGCCCGTCTACCTATAGCGACTTTTGGCTCCATAAGTGATTAGCAATGAAAACCGACAGTGGTAACTTCAGAAGCTGACAAATCGGAATAACATAACAAAATATAGTGAATTGTTCATGCTATTTAGTTTAAGGTGGATGAATAAGTAAATTAGAAACGCTAGTAATATCTCTACATATTCATGTATCAACCCAAGTCAATTTTTTTCAAATGTGTCTGTTATAGGTATTCATTGGTATTCGGCTCTGACACCCTTTTTCAAGAGATTCGTGAGTAGTTCATTTTCGAATTTCATAGCTTAAATCCTATCATCTGAAACAGCATGTGTGCCAAAAAGGAAGTGAAAAAAAAAAAGAAAAGAAAAGAAAGAAAGAAAGAAAGAAAGAAAAAAGAAAGAAAGAAAGAAAGAAAGAAAAAAGAAATAAAAAGAAAACGAAAAAGAAACACTGCATTTAGGCCTGTTTTTGTTGAGACCACTCTTCATTCCCTTGAGTATTTTTTTCAATTTGAAAAACATTATACCCATGCAGAGTAAAGAGAACTGTAATCTAAGATAAACGAAAGCTAACCTGAGTCGCGACTGACACTTCCTCACGCAAGGCAATAGCTTGCGACAACGCTGATGCTAGAATTTGTACATTTAATAAGCCCCTTGACTCCCACTGCGATAAGATTTTAGCGATTTTGGTCCGAATCTGAGAAAGAACAAAACAAAACAATTATTTTATTTTATTGAATGAGCATCATTTTGGATGAACTCAATTATGCATTTTTATTTTGTTTATATTGCAATGTCACTCAGTTCAATTACCATTATTATCAATAAGTGGATCTCAATATTAATATAGTGGATCTTACTTGTATTCTGAGAGACAGGTGACCCTGGTCACCTTCCATGCTGTTTAGTACAGACAACATGGACATGAATCTAATGCTTGCGTCCAGCAGATTTCCCTTATTCATCAAGTCCCGAAGCTCAGTGCCATCCACGAAGTTAAGATATCCTAAGAGAAGCGCCGTCATGTTTGAAGATTCATTTCGCACAACCTAAAAACAAAGCATTTCAGTACTTCTATTAAGCAGACACCTACGTGAACTGCGCCTGGTGTCCCCCTTATAACAGATACGTGGTCTGAAATAAGAAAAAATAAATAAATGTCCAAACGCACAAGGTCTGTTGAAGCAGTAGGATCATTGTAGGTCGCTTCATTGTAGACGTCATTTCCAGTATCGTTTGGAATTTTTACCAGCTGAATGACAAGTTTTCAATAAAAAATGTAATGGATGATTGCGCACGAGTAATCAATCAATCAGAAAGCCCTTTCTTACCATGGTGTTTAAAAGTGTTGTGTTGTACGCCCCCAGAGAATCCACAATTCGCATGGTCATGTTCAGAGTATAGTTATTACTAGCCTCACCAAGTGGCAGGGGAATTGCAAAGGAAGGGAAGACAGAATGATAAAGCAGTAGCTCTACACCAAAATTTGTTTGATAATACAGCTGATAGGTTAAAGGCAGATGATGGTCCATCCAGTCACTGAAACAAAAAGGAAATTAGAAGAAAAAAAAAACATAAACCTTATCATGCTCATCACTACAAAAGAAAATCAGGGGTGGTGTAGAGGTAATACAACAGCTCTGGTTTTCGAGTTTAATCTCTTCCTTGATTCGAAGGGTTTTTTCTGGGTTTTCCAGGTTTCCTTCCTCCTCGAAAGCCAACACGTCAGATCCCAGCAATACGAGGCATGCCTGATTTTGATCAGCCCAAAAATATATATAATTATTTAGTTTGTGATGAAACGGACCCAGAAGAGACCTGTTGATCCACTACTTTCTATATAATAGCTATTAATGATAAAAGTTGTTATGTACTGTTTAATAGACGAGCAGGAGTGTTTTACCGGGCATAAAACACGAGGCGCAGACGAGTGATTTTAGACCCGATAAAACACGTTCTGCGAGTTTATTAAACGGCTTAAAAAATTCGTGATGTATGTTCTCATATTGTACAGAATTCTTTACGAAATGAACCACGTTTGATAGAGAAAATCCAAGTTAAAGTTTATGCAAATGAAGACGAATCTATATCAGATATAAAACCTCCTTCATGGTCATGATTTCTATTGTGTTTCTTTCATGAATTATTAATGAGTTTTTTAAAATGATGATACTGGTGAAAAGTAATGGTGTTGCTTGTGATAATGGTGTTGATGATGGTGGTGGTGTTGTTAATGATGCTGGTGTTGGTGTTAATGATGATGGTGGTGGTGTTGTTGTTAATGATGATAGTGGTGGTGGTGTTAATGATGATAGTAATGGTGGTTAATGACGGTGGTGGTGTTGATGATGATGTTGGTGATGGTGTTGATGATGGTGTTGATGATGATGGTTGTAATGATGATGGTGGTGGTGTTGATGATGAAGGTGGGGGTTTTAATGATGGTGATAGTGATGGTGGTGGTGATAAAGATGGTGGTGGTTGATGATGATGGTGGTGGTGTTAATGATATGTGATATAGTGATAATGATGATAATGATGAACGTATTCTATTACCTGCATTTAAATGTGAATAAAGTGTCACCCGCATTGCCTTTAGGGATGTCCACATCACAAGAACCCCCATAAGGAGGCATGTTATAAGAATAAATATATTCTGCCAAACCACGTGGCCCGCCTGACATCCATGCTGTCCCCTGTAGCTTGTACCTCTCTTCTGTTGCTATGACATTTGGAGCTATGACAACGAAACGGTTGTTTAACTCTGTTTTGGTAAGATTTCGCAATTCTTCAATTTCCATCCATTTGGACGTGCCATTGCTTGTGACTTCACGGAAGAGGCGCCAGTGATAAGAAGCAGTATCTGTCAGATCTGGAGAGAAGACTTCTAAATGTAACTTGTTATTTGGATTGACCAAAGCCATGCAATTCCTTAAACATCTGAAAAGAAATAAAAAATAAAAAAATTAGATAATAAATCTACTTCCTTAGTTCCATCTTTGGTAGTTTATGCGCGGAATCGCACAATTTCCATATACAACTCCCTGAAAAAACGTTGTCATCGCCAAAGGCGACAGGCAATGGGGAGAGAACGAAAGCGATAGGAAATAGGTCATTCCAAGATCCAAGAATCGCTCAGGAATGACTTGTGTTTCTGCTTCTTATTCTCGTTAAGAACAAGGACCTTAGTGTTGAGGCTGATTCAATAGTCTTTGTATTCAACGAAACCATTTTCATGTCGAAATGACCTATCACCTCTCGCTTTGGCGATGACGCGTTTTTTGAAATAGGTGTATACAAAATAGACTGAACGCCAATTAAAGTGTTTCAATGAAATTGTCTGAAAACCCAAAGTTTCAGAGCATTTCAGTTCTCAAGGAAAGGGAATATACTTTTTATCCTTGGCCTTAATGTTTTTTTTCATTTCAGACCACGTGTTATTCACTTGAGAAAAAGAATCTTTGTTTCAGTTATATCCATATAAATGTGTCCTCCCATGCGCAACCGTTAAACAAAGAAATTTTGCTTTACACTTGTAGAAAACCTGACTTAAACAGACTTAAACATTTTTCTACTAACCTGAGATAAAGGTTTGGAACATTGCCATCGACTAAACTCATAATTTGAACAAACCGTGCATGTCTAATCATTCCTTTAACGTCTTTAAACACGTCAACAGCGACGCTATAATTATCACCTATACTCATAAAACTAGTCGTGTAGTTAATCTTGGATCTTCCTTTGTAAAAGTTCGTATTTGATCGACAGAATCCCGATTCGTTAAACACAGGGAGCCCAGAACGATTAAAAGAAGACATCGCTTTGATTCTTTCGATGGAAGGCAAGAAACCATTCGAACAAGACCAGTAAAACTCAAAAGCATCTTCGCCAGTTGTAAAGTCTGGGTCGTAAGTTTCGGAAGCATCAAAGTATATGGACTTGTTTAATCCTCTCCTGACAAAATGGCCGCCCAGGATCATCGGGATGAAATCGTTGGCAGTGACTTCGATGAAACCGTGCTTAAACTGGTAGACACCATCAAGGCCCCTCATTGACACGTTAAGAATAACTTGGTATAAACCATAATCGAGTGTCCTTTGGTAAATGGTCAGGGTCTCGAATGTCTTATAAGACAAACCAATAGAATTGTTGGAAGCCAAACTAATGTTCCAGTCAACATTATAAAGCGTTGTAGGATCGCAGTCTATATATATCTTAGTATATACTAAGAGAGACTGTATTCGGGTAATTCTGGTTGGGTCTTGTTTATTGTTGCCGATATTGAGAAGAGAGATGTTAGGATAGCTGCACCTCCCTTGGACGACCACAGCTCTATCTTCCAGATGAACTGAAGAAATTGCATTTGATCCACTAACAGTAACCATGTATAGACCTATAGCTCCATAAGTGTGTTTTATCAAAAATGGTATCTGCATATCCAGGAATGTAACTGAAGGGTGATTAATCAAACAATGTGGTTTACCGATCCCGTAAGTCGAACCATCACCTGGACGAACCACATAACATGAATTCGAGCCTTTGTCTTCAGCGGTTATAACAAAAGTATGTGTATGGTTCACAACTACAGGTGCTGTTGGAGCCAGGCTAGCCTTCTGGATTGCGCTTTGTACTTTAATCTTCTCTGACAGCAGTTGATAACTTAGATGGTTACTACAATTGATTGTTATAGTATATTCCCCAACTATATAGTTGTGGTCGAACTGGGTAGAATTGTCCAGAGAGGTTCTATTAATCAAGGTTCCATCTCCAAGATTGATCAGACAAAGGAAAGGGTTTCCAAGAAGAACCGTCAGGTTTACGAAGGTAGAGTTAGGATAGATAGTATCATGTACTTCTAGGGAAGCGTTTACAATCAAGTCCATTTTATTAATTGTAATGTTGCATCCACTAGAGTATGAACTTACGTTGTTGTACGCCACGATGTTAGGTGTTCTTAATGCCGCAGCGCGATACTTGTGTATGAGTGTGGTAGATGTTTGGTTCACCAAGGGAGTTCCATCATCCGTGTTTATAACAAAGTGTGGGTTCGAGCCATTAAGAACCTCGATTTGAAGTATTACGTCATCGAACTCATAAGTACGGTCAAATATAGTCTTGGTCGATAAAGTCAACGATACATTGACGGCAAGCTCTACGATAACATTCAAGTTAATTACCGATGTATTTATCAGATTTGAGACAATCAGCTCTATTGGGAAAACGCCTGGAATATTGTACTGATGAAGAGCCACGCCTGTTTGAAATCCGTCTCTAGTTACCAACGTTGAATTTTGATAAGAACCATCGCCATAATTAAAACCTAGCTGTAATATCGTTCCTCCATCAATCCTCCAGTTGATAGTAAAATTACGGCCAAGAAGGATTGCCTTTGTAGTGTTATGTTCTTGGAAGTCTTTAATTGAGTCCTCCACATAGTGAGCATTCCTTGTGACTTCGTGATTTGGAGTAGATATCACTATTTCTATAATACCGCCGATAATGTATGTGTGTTCTATGGAACAGTTAGTAGTTTGGAGCTTGGTTCCATCGCCAAAATCAATGGTCAAGTCTAACGCTGTACAGTTTTGTATCATTACTGTTGTAGGTTGATCTTTCTTGAAAATTGGCGGGGCAGCGTAAAAGGGAGCTGAACAATAAAAACATAATACAATACAGATAAGATTATGGCGGGTAAAACTAATACTTTGGAAAACACAATTTATTATGTCTTCACACCAAGGTTGAATTCCTGGACTGAGCAAGGTTCTACTACTGAAATTGCGCGTGAGTAGATTCTTTTAAGTTTCTTCCTGGATCTAAGGGTTCTTGTTGATAATGACGATCATGACATCTTATTCCTGATAATACATCTTGATAGATGATGAGGATGATTTTGATGATTTTGATGATAATGACAATGATGATGATGCTGATTTTGATGATGTAGATGATAATGATGATGATAAGGATGGTGATCATGATGATCATAATAATCTTACCAGGACATAGAGGAGCATTGCACAGTCTCGTCTGCGTATCGCTCCCAAGCCGAGTACAGTTTTTACCGCCATACAAGGGCTCAGGATTTGAACAGTTTCTTGTCCTGTATTGAAAACCTGGTCCACAAGTTGCGCTACATGCGGACCAGTTTGAGTAAAGAGTGTAATGGCCGTCCCTTGGTAAAACTGTGAAGAAAAAAAGATTACGGTAGTTCTTTTTGTACTGATAAAACATTATTGAATAGGTTTTTGGATATCGGGTGTTATCCAGAGGACAGTAGGGAGGGGGGGCGGGGGTAGTCGTGCTATGGTTTTGATGAGTCCAGAGATTGTTTCAGGGTTCGATAAAATTTGAAGGTGAGGTGCAAATGGTAAATTTGAAGGATCAGTGCCTCAGTTGGCTATGCAAAAGCAACAGATGCATAACAAACTGCAGAGAAATGCTGGCTCATGCCTAAAGAAGGTTTCAAGTTTTAGAGTCTTGCTTGCTACCACAGCCTGTAATAATATTTTAGATATTATTTAAGAATTAGCTAATAAGCAAAGAAGCTATGGGATATAATTATTGATTATGACAGCGCATTAGTCTCCTCCGCAGGCATCTCCTTGGCTCTTTTTGCTTCTCGGGCTTCCTGTGGCGAGTTTTCTCTGCCATATAATTTAACACAGGGATCCCAACAGAGAATACATGGGGTAGCCTAAACAATGCATATGATGATACGTGGTACAAACCCGATAATCCGAACAGTTCAACTCTCAAAGAAACACCGTTTGTCCAATTGACGGGGACTATCCTCACAGATTTGACAGTTATTTCGGACTTCAAAATATTAGTCACGACGCTGAAGGTGTCGTTATTCCCATTAAATATCTAAAAAGGGAAAAAATTAAAGGATGTGAAAAATGAATGGCAAAACTAAAATGGAAAGGTAAGAAAAAAATGACAATAAACAATGAAAGAAATTTAAAAAAAACAAATAAAAGAAATGAAGAGAGAGAGAGAGAGAGAGAGAGAGAGAGAGAGAAAGCAGGAAAAAGTATTTTTACGAAACATTCTAGGATAGGCTTGCGTCGTTTAAAACGTCAATTCAAATCCTTTTACATTCCAAAACCCTTATTCCACGCTCTCTAATAAATAAATGTATAAAAATAATTACTTTTTGGATCCCATCTTCAACATAATCAATCCAATTAAGACCATCTAAGCTAGTTTTCAATGTATAGTTTGTAACAAATGCAGGGTAGGTGGCAGAATGAATTCCTTGAGTCGAAACACCAATCACACGCATTTGATGAATTCCTTTTATTTCCAGGAATGGGGCCAAGTCGATTGTCAAAGGCTCCCAGCCGATACTATTGTTATTATCGTTACGGTTCAGCCTTGCTTTCCATGGCTCTCGATTTGGCTTATAAGTTGAGGCCGATATGTAGGTATCTGGAACGTCGCCATTGTTGACCCCGATTGGCCCTAGAACTATAAGCAGCCAAACATGAATCAGAACCGCAATAGACCTTTTCGGCATGGGTGCAATGTTTTCCCATTTAGACCAGGTGTCATTCCCTAGAGTATGATTTCTTTGTTTGACGGTCGTGTAGGAGAAAACACATGAATATGAATACACCTCAAACAGGAGAATGACATGTGTTCTGAAGGAAAACATAACGCTTAAGCCGAAGAAGTCTATTTCCTCGTATAGAGGCTTCGCCCTGTCACGTGGTGGCAGCCATGACAGAAGGCACAATAGAGTATATTCGAGTATTTTCCCTTGGGAAAATGCATTCTTTCGTTTAGACCAAAAGTCATGATAATAAATCATGATAGATAATCATCATCATAATAGACCAGATTCAATTGTTTCCGCCTCCTGTCGTGGCTACCATCATGTGATTCGGTAGCGGATCCAAGGGAGAGGTGCAGGGGATACGCAAAATAATGTCTTTTCCCTTTAATTCTAAGGGGTGCACCCCTCCCTTGGTTAACTTTGTGCAGTGTGCCCCTCCCTGAACAAATTCCTGGATCCGCCCCTGTTATGGTGCAAAGCCATTATACTGCAATACTACAACCACAAGATTTTTGTCTAAAGGGATGCGTGCGCATGCGAAGTGTTCATATTTTCTCATAACCATTGAGATTGATCGTTCATTTAGTTGGGTATTGCTATTCAAAACAGCAAGCCTTAAGTGGAGCATGCGCAGTGTCTCAGCTCGACGGGCTCGAGTAGGAATTTTGGCAGCCGCTATACATTCAGTATCTGACCACGTAGCACAGCTCTAAAGTAAATATTTATTTTTATTTTATTCTATACAGGTATATTTCCTTACTTGAATGTCCATAAATTTCTGTCTTGAGGCACATTCGGCCATGCCAAGTGGTTGGTTGTATTCTTATGTATCTGCATCTTATGTGGGGATCAATGGCTACCTTAACAACAGCAAATGAATCTACATTGCCCTTCAATATCTGTGGAAATGAAAAACTCAATAGATTGAGAAAAATACATTACAGACCACGTGTCATAGCACTCATTATAAGCTTTTTCTCGTTAGATCGATCAACATGGCTGCTCTTTTATTATTATTATTTATATTTCAAGTGGTTTGAATTTGAATTTGAATTTGAATTTGAGTTTGAATTTGAGTTTGAATTTGGTTGCACCCCAAAAATACCGTATTCTCTCTATTAAACCCCGCTAGGAGCTTATTGTTTTCAGTACTTTTGGACTGGGCGCTTATTACTGAGGTTAGCTACCCTTTAGCTCCATGCGCTGTCAAGTATAGTAAAATCCGTATAAAAGAACCAGTGGGTTAAGAACCACCAGGCTGACATTTAGTCAATAAAAGGCATAATAACTGGGAATATCGCTGTTAATGCTTAATGTGGATATTAGAACCATTTCAGCCTGACTTGAGAAAATCGTGGTTCTTTTATGCGGGTTTGTGCAGTACTGCTTAAAACAATGCGAATCCTAGGTTCCATACCTTAACGTATGAGGCATTAACGTAGTAGTTCCAAACTATATTATCCATACTGTACAACAACTGGTAATCAATTACCCAGGCTTCTGAAGCCGTCGCGAATCTACCTTGCAAGGCAATATGGGTGACGCTGTGTTCGTATAATAAATCTATGTTCAAGTACTGGCCAATCACGTCTTCTCCTGCACACCACGCGTCACTCAGATCGTCACTGTTAAGGCGAGCTCTCCATGGCTCGGTACCAGGACCAGCGTGACTTGTCGCGGTGATTTGAGAATTTGCGATTCTCCATTTTGACATTCCTAGAGGTGCTGTTATAGCTGCGAAATAATATACGCGACAAAACATACTTAAGCCATTTTGTGTCAATGATTAATAATAATAGTAATTATTTAAGATCCGCGGTTTGCAACCTTTAATCAGCAACATTTCAAATATCAAACAGTCCAATCGAGTTTTGCATCTCTTCAGGGCTTTGAAATTTCTTGCACTTAGATGGTCGAGACCGATTAAACTTGTCCTCTGTTGGTGTTAACTAGTATCTATACCTGACGATGGCTTCAGTATGAATCCCAAACTTTGTACTCTGTTATCCTTAATTTTCATCATTAAATCTATTTCACAATCTCTACTAATCAGATTTTAAAGCTAAAAGAAAAAAATCGTAAAATTTGTAAAAATATCAAATTGTCTTTTAAGAAATAGATAATAGCCTGGGCAGCCTGTGTTGAAATCTATAATAGTCCCCTTCACAGTTCCCTTCGTCATCTTGAAAGATAGTCGTGCCTTTGCATCGAACCGAGAGGAACGATTAGCTTGCAATGATAAAAACATCTGAATAATTTTCCAAGGTGTTAAAAAAGGTCTCTATCATTGAAAACTCACCGTTCGTTTCGCTTTGGTGCAAAGGCACGGCTAACTTTCAAGATGGCGCAGGAAACTGTGAAAGGGACTATTGAGCTCGTACAAGAGAGTACTCATACTTTCTTGGCTCGTATTATCATCCCTAGTTTTTTCATTTGATTTTAGAGATTACCATGATAGGAATGAATACAGTGGAGTCCTGTTGTCTCAAACCTCGAGGAAAAAGAATCGAAATAACGGACAAGAACCCAAGAATAGAACCCTCTAATCAAAAGAAAATCCTAACAAATGGCTATATTCGTATATGATGCCGAGTCCAGGAATCAAACCTGAGACCTGACCTCTACGCCATCCTGGATTCTCCAAATAATAGGAAGTTCGAGATATGGTTTGAAATAACCGGACCCCACTATATTTCCAGGGGTGGGGTCCATTCAAATATTTTTACCTTTACTTAAAATTCCTGCACGCATACACAAGGTTTTAGTCCAGTTTTTCGGATTGAACCGCACAAACCTTGCCAGAATAGCCTTTGTAAATAATTCTCGTAGGTTCACGTTGAATAGCTAAACAACAATAAAAGACATTTCATATTGCTTCGCTTGTCACTCACAAAGGTTTTAGTACGAGGCTAGGTGCTAAATTAAATTACTTCTTTTCCCCTTTCACGAATCACTGATACACCCAAACAAAATTTTAAAAGTAGGTTTATCAACTTACGATGGCAAAGGTGAACCAAAAGTAATATTGAGCCCCTATGATAATGGTGTGTGCATGGACGTGCCGTTCGCGCCTTACAAAAGATACAAGTTTACCAAATTTCATAGTGTTAAACAAGGGCGGATCCAGTGGACTAGTCACCCCTCCCCCCCCCCTTTTGCACAAATTATTTAATGATGACACTCCACTCCCCTCTGAAGCCCTAAGGCCTTTCCCTAAATAAAACACGTAACTTCCCTAATACGATGAAAACACTTTATCCGGACAAGCTTTCACTAAGTTTACTTTAAGCTTTCAAATCCAATTGAATTTCCGTAAATTTAAGACGCTATATTAACACAATTTTCCCGCATTTTATGGGTTTTCTGTGGTAATGGCGAGAGGTATGACCGTCACCCCCCTTTTTAAAATCCTGGATCCGCCCCCGGTTACTCTTACCTTCACTGTCTGCTTCTCTTTATAATCATCCCAGATATTGCCATAAATTGAGGATGAAACGATAAAAGTGTTCATTGTTTCCAAAATGGAGACATTGGCAGTTTCAACCCCAGTGATAGGAAACGACTTGCCCAAGTCAAGCTGAAGAAACTGTCGATTATCGACGTACTCTGCACACCATGCACTGCTACCACCTAAAACTGCAGCTCTTGGGGGATTGCTGTATATGTAGGACGAAGCGCTGTATGTAACTGCATTGAACTTCGAAATAGGTACGCCTAAAACGAGAAAAACGAATTTCTTTGTATGGATGGATCATCATTTTTATGTATCATTATCATCAAGTATCACCATCATCATCATTATCAACATCATAATAAAAAGTGTTATCTTTGTCATCATGTTATTATCATCAGCAGCATCAGCAGCAGGATTGTATCATTATTTCCATCATCTAAGTCCATCGCTCCCGATTCCCGGGCCCGTCACAATCATCAGCATCATTATTATCATCATTTCCATCATCATCATCATGATTATCTTCATTATAATAATCATCATCATTACAATCATTTATCCATTACAATCTGTTACAATCATATTATTCTCTCATCCCCTATTTTCATCCTTACCTTTTTTACCATAAAGTTCTAAGCTAACTGTGAAGCTATTTATAAGTTTCCATCTTGCCACCTCAAACTTCAGATATCGGGTCTTGATTGGTTGTGAAAGAAAGTGTTTTTGCACGCCCTTGTACGGATGAATTTCGTTATGAAATCGCTAAGAATCGAAAGAGAATTAAGGCCAAAAATGAGTAAACTAATAAATGATGATAAAAAATGATATAAAATGAAAACCTTTTCCCCCACAAATTTCGAATATATTTCTTTAATTTTTGATCGATTAGCTGTTCTAGCATCTTTTGAACCTATGTTGCAGACGTTTAATTTTATGTGATTCGCTTCGCAATTTGATCTGTGAGATAGCCGTGTCCTGACTTTGATCAGCCCAAAGGTTGTTTTAGGGTTTGATCTATGAGCTAGCAGTGCACTGACTTAGATAAGCCCAGTGGTTGGGCCATAAGTTCATCAGTGAACTTAGATTATTAGTTTTTACCTTGGGTTTAGAATATTCCATGTATTGATACCAAAATAAGCCTTCGTCACTGAATGATAGGAAGAATTCAAGAACCCTTCTGTCTTTCTGAAATGGATGCCTTGTACCTATGGCAAGAATCTCAGCGTCAATCATTCCAAGGTCGATTTGAAGGAACTGATTTGGCATCTGAGGCGCCATCCAACCATCCATTTGAAACCTTGCTTTCCAAGGTTCGAATGATGTATTATAGGAACTGGCAATGATGTTTTGGTCTGGGATTTCCATACTCGTCATTCCAAGAGGTACAATGTAATCATTCCTTGAAACTGTTCTTAGATAGAAAAGGAATTTCTTTGTAAGAGTTGACTCACATGTGCTGAGTCCAATGCAGCTGAACTTTTTGCTCGTTTATATTGGACTCGGGGCATGTGGGGGTCGACGTCCAAGGCCTGGCCTTAGCATTATTTTTTAGTATTATAAATTAGCGTTATAATATATTTTATTAGCAGAGTACTATTACCCTATTTTTATTATTTTACTTAAATTATATTTATTATTGTATGGATTTTATCAGGGCTCCTCTTGATAACAGTTATTTTATGTAACTGAAAGGGCTACCCTGTATAAATAAAGGTTCATTCATTTATCAGGCAACATAATCGAGAGCCATGGAAACTGAGCAAGGCTGAACCGTAACGATAATATCGACAGTATCGGCAGGGAGTACTCGACCCAATGCCTTGAAATAAAGGGACTTCATCAAATAGCCGGGATCGGTCTATAGAGGCTTTGCACCATCACGTGATGTCAGCCATGACAGGGGGCAGGAACAATTGATTCTGGTCTAATCTGATTTACATTAGAAAGGATTCAGTTTCCCTGTCAAGGCTGCCATCACGTGATGGTGTAAAGCCTCTATTCACAACCGAAAAAAAATTCTTTGTTTTCGATTTTTCAAAAATTATTCATTCTTAGGGTTTGGGATCCCTGTAGCACAGAAATTACCGTTTCTCAATGCATTTCAAATTTTGCTCCTAAAATCTATCCTTAGTAAAGAATTTGTGTTTTTAAACATTTTTGTGTAAAATTGGTTGAATAAATAAACTACCATGCAACCGTCATATTTTGTACTCGTACTCGTACTTATCGTCGGAGTTTTCGGTTTCCTTGCGATCTTATCGTATCAAAGATTGGGGTAGACATTTTGAAAACAAAAGATTCCATATATGCTCAGAACCCATTAAATAACACAATAGACATAGGCCCCGTCCACACGTGTCCGCAAATGTTTGTGTCCGTATCGGCAAATTTTACGAAAATGGATACGTGTGGACGGTAAAAACGATTCGAATACGCTGCGTGTGGACGCAAACATTTTCGTATCCGCAAAAAATAATTTGCGGATACAAAAACTTCCGGATACGTGTGGACGGGGCCATAGATTAGCGCGGGTCATTTGAAATTCAATAGAAAATTCTTGAACTGGAAATTTGATTATCGCGGTTCGCCTAATCTGAATTTTCGGAAAAACCTCGTAACAATCCAAACTTATACTGTGGGGGTATAGGTGATAAAATTTTGTCACAGTAAAAGTTAGGGAAAAGGCCACTGGGATTCAGGTGCCTTATCTGTCATCTTACCTTCACACCCATAGACCTCCAACCGTAAACACGCTTTTCCTGACCAAGAAATAGGATGAATTCGTAAGAGACGAACCGTTATTGGTGATGTTAAGACGTTCTGGACTACAGTCACACTATCATCATTAGCCACAAAGACCTGCAATGTAAGATAAAGAAAACAAATACAAGATAAGAACAAACAAATACTTTTAAAATACCATTTTAACATATTTCCTAGTGTGAGCATATCTTGCAAGGTTTTGTGCGATGTCTTCATCCAACGATAAGCAGCAGCTCAACTTTCCTACTGGACATACTGTAACATGTTAAAATAGTTTTTTCCTCATAAAGTTGTGTTGTAGATATAGTTGCTACGGCGGTGTTATTAAAGGTGCTGACACACGGTGCAACATTGCACGCAACATTGCAAGCAACAAATTTGAATCGGGCCGACACACATTGCAACAAAATCATGCAACATTGCTTGCGCCAGCCTGCTATGTTAAGATATTTGGTCAGTAGTTATAAACTTGGTGCAAGCTGATTGGCTGGAAATTTCAAAATGTTGCAGGTAATGTTGCCGACATGTTCACATGATGAAATTTGTTGCGCGCAATGTTGCAAGAATGGAGCGCGATTCAACTTCAGATTTGTTGCATGCAACGTTGCTTGCAACAAGTTTGGGGTGGACACACGCTGAAACAGTCCTGTTGCGTGCAATGGTGCAGGCAATGTTGCACCGTGTGTCAGCACGGTCCCCAAGAACTAGAGATGTCGCATCGTGTGTGAAGGTCTTCTATTTTGGGCGGGTAGGGGAATGAAATATAATTTGCAGTTCAATACCTTTGCGACCTTACTCTCCATGTATTTTTCCCACGTTTCATTACTTGGTTCTTTAAGATATGACATAGTATACTGCTGTACCCAAGAATCACCATACAGGGAGTGTTGCCCTTGTGTTGAAATGGCGCGAACTTCATGCAGCCAGCGCAGATCGATCTGTAGATAAGGCGAAGCATCTGTGTGATTTGCACACCAAGCTCCGTACCCCTGATTGGTATTTAGTCTTGCTTGAGATGGCAAACTTTGTTGGTTAAGAGCACTCGAAGCAGTGATTGAAACATCTTTAATGAAGGAGGCCTCCATTCCTAGGTCTTCCATACAAACTGAGAATTCAAAACGAGAAAAGCGTTAGATTCAATTACTTATATCTATTACTTATATATTTATACATTATAAATATGGAATTGCATATGTAAACGCGTTTCGGCTCATTTCGGGGAAATAAACGCGTAACAACGGCATGGATTTGATAATCGCCATTTTAGACATCCAGTTAGTATACACTATTACATAAATACAACATAATATTGAACGATAGAAAAAAGTTATATATATAATACATATACAGCCATTTGCAGACATTCTGATCCAAACAAGTATATAGTATATAACTATATCGGGTGCATTATTGGTAATGGACCCGCGGGATTCAAAGCTAAGTACCAAAGCGTTCTATATATATAGAAAGAAAGAAAAAAGTGGACCTTAGTTTCATTTGAGTGTATTACCTTGCTCACAGCCGTAGAGCTCCAGCTTCATGTATGGATGGTTTTCATATCGAACGACTATTACTCTGATATATCTGGCTATGATGGAATCACCTTCAATGGCCGTTTTAGTGAGTAATCTACAGTCAGGTAAACAATTGAAAACCTGCAATGGCAAAATAAGCTAATTATTGTTGGTATCAAGCAGATGGGTTAATCATCTCACAGTAAAGAGCAAACAATACCCCTCCCCGCATAATCTAATGATAGAAAATTACAAGAATGTATAATATATATTTAAAAACCAAGAGAAAAGACAAACAAACTATTTTTAAATAAGTATTATGTATACACCTAATTGAAAAATCGTTGTCAGGTTCGAAAAAAGGTTACATCATCACAGCTAAGACCGAAGGGGAGCATGGGAAGACAAACAATTAAGCTAATTTCATGCGTATTGCAGTTTTCCCTTCCTGTGCACATTTGGCTTTGGCATGTTGTTAATCTAGGTCGACCGACTTTGCTCTACTCCGCATTTTTACATGTATATATGCAAATATAATACACATTTCGGAGCACCCAAAATCATTTTCGGTCTTAGTGTCAAGACGTGAATCTTGGGAACGGCAACTTGACTCAAAATTGAATACTAGTTCTTTTTAATCTATAATTTCAATGATCTTATTGATCTTATCAACTTAAATAGTCGCTACTTAGATGACTTATATGTAGAAAATATTCCTTTATAATTAAATTAATTCAAATAGTACGAATAATAGGCGCATAATATAACTGAAATGCTTTAACTCTAAACAATGTTCATTTTACTGTCTTTCTTGCTTGTTCTTTCTCGTGTTATTCTGTATTTCTCTCTTCTTCTTGTGCCTTGTTCCAAACTGGTCTTTCTCTGTTGTTTCTGGTTCTTCTCTGCTGTTTTGTTCCTTCGCTGCTCTAGTCTTCACCTCTCAAGTCAAGTGCTTTCTTCTCTCTCTTCATTTGACTTACTTATATTTATAGTTTAGACTATTCTTTCATTTGGTGATGTAACTTTTTCACCAATGCTTTGTCTTATAGTTGATCCCTCTTACGTAACTTCGTTTTAATCATAATCCCATGGCTATTCTCTATTGAATATATTAATTCTTTTTTTTATATATTCTTTACACTTAGCTTCGATGATATGACCTTCTCGAACCCTACTACGTTTTTTCAATTAGGTGTGTAGGGTGATGATGATGTGTAGGGCGGCTAAAGTAGGTAGTGACGACGTCTTCTACTGACGTGAAATTGGATACACAATACAAACTATCGCATGTATAATAATATCAGTGATTTTATACGCAATATGTAACTGTACTTTACAAGCTTTTAAGACAATAAAAAACAAAGGAATAGACCTCCTCGGCTCTGACGTAATGTTTTCCCATTTCAGACCACGTGTCTTTCCCTAGAGTATCATTTCTTTGTTTAAGGTTTGTGCTCGGTTGCACATGAGAAGACACATGAATATGGATGCTACTCAAACAAAGAATCTAATTCTCAAGGGAATGACACGTGGTCTGAAATGGGACAACATTACGCTCGAGCGCTGCAGAGCCGAGGAGGTCTATTACGATATAGTTTAGTTTAAGAGTTCCATTCAATAACTACTTTTCCAGTTTCTCGGTACACTATATTTTACTTCATTCAACATGGCAACTTGTGTGTTGTTGTCTGTGTCACCTTTGTTAGTATTTCCGAAAACGATCTACATATTATTGTGTAGGTCTGCCGCGAACGGCGTGTGCGTTAGTATATGACATGAACGTGTTAGACATAATTCGTTTAATAAGGATTTCTTTACACTCTCGGCGATTGGCTTTAGCATTGCACCCATGCTTATTTAAAGACAGCCAAACGCTCATTTGCACCACCACAAATTTCCCAATATTGCAGGAGGCGGAGCAGAGTACAGTATGCAGAAATTTCGAGTTCATTGAACAGTCAACAAGTGCGTGCATTTGTAAACATGGTGTAACCAAACGAGTTTCAAGCTATTTTTCATTTTCATACCTTGTAATCATTGCCCTGTATACCGTACTCAAACCATTTATCGGCTATATATTTTTTAGAAGCCAATCTAATTGCTTTTACACCTTTATCTAGAGTTTCGTCATATGCCATTGCTGAAAAACATAAAAAAATCAGTCTTGAATAAAATGCAGCTATTAAGAATTATATTAGTTGGTGCTAATATGCTTGGTGCAATTTTTTCTCATTTCAGACCACGTGTCATTCCCAAGAGTATCATTTCCTTGTTTAACGGTTGCGAGTGAGGAGACACGTGAATATGGATACAACTCAAACAAAGAATGTTTATCTCTAGGAAATAACACATGCTATGTAATGAGAAAACGTTGTACCACAAAGATCGAAAAAAGTCTATTGAATTTGATAATTGCAGCCTCTACCCACCTACAGCAGTAAGCCTAACAATTCTTCCTACATCAACCTGAAGCCAACTGTCAACTGCTGACTTTGGTGACCAAGAGCCACTTGTACCATGCCGCACACGCCATGGTTCGGATCCAGGATTGAATGAACTAGCGGTTATTGCATCATTTGCTATTCGCCCATCCTGCAATCCTAATGGATTGCTGCATACTGCATTAAAAAGAGAAAAAAAGCTCGATCAACGATAACTCACTTTGGGCAAACTAGAGAACCCATGAGTTTAAATCGAAACGAAAATTTATACGTTTTCCGCCTTTTATTTGTTTATCTATTTCCTGATCCTCTTTCCTATTTTATTTGTTTCTAATTTCAGTCTCCTCTAATTTTTGTTTTTTCTTAACTGTTAATTTCTTATATCCCTCGTACTTCTTTTCTTCCCCCGTTTTCTTTCCTTTTGCATTTACTCATATTATCAGCTATTATTATCAAATTCATTCATGATTATCACCACCAGGCAATCTCAAACACCTTCATCATTATCATTGTCAAAGGTAACAGTAAGTTATAGAGTAGTTTTTGTATGACTGTGAAAAACACATTGCCGTATGCGTGCCTTGCCGTGACCGTGATTTTTCCAGTAATCATATTCTTTTTGTAATCACTACGAAATCCTGCTATCTGAATGGTTTAAAGGAGTGCGGTTAATTCCCAAATTGCATCCTTAGGAGCTCTTAATCGCATCCTAAAAAAAATTTTTTTTTAAACAATAAAATAAAACAAAATAAAACAAAAAAATCAACGACAAAAATTTTTTTAGGTGTTTTTTTTGTTCGCATTTAGTTCTTCTACTACATTAAATTGATTTTTCTGCACTCTTTAGTGTGTCTTTTTCTTGTATATGATTACAAAAAGGATATGATTAAGTGGTAATTGAACTTCGTGTCTTGCAATTTTGTAATCGCGCATTTGATTTCAGACCAAATTGCACTCCACTCAGTTCAATTACCATCATAGATATAATTTAATTGGCTGAATTTTTCCCTCGTGCAATGTGATTGGTCTGGCAGTGCCGTTACCTTGCCGTGACCATGTCCGCGCCGTGTTCTGGGTAATTGATTGGATGGAGAGGAAATACTCGAGACCGATCCTTGAATGGAACCTTAGACCAGAAGTGAAAGGCAAGTACACTAACGCTTTACCAGCCTTGATTCGGCAACACGCATGCGCAGCTTTTGCAGCGTTTGATCCGGGCCCAAATAATATTCAATATCATACTGATCACATACCTTCGTATCCGTAGAGTTCCATTCTAAAATCATAGCCATTATTAATTGTTCTTGGAAGAATACGCATGAAGCGTGCTCTTATTTCAGTGAAAAATGACTGACGACTGACATCTTGCGAATCCTTGTTGCCTTCAAAAATCTGTAATGAAACATTACAATCAATCAACGAAAAAGGTTTATAACACCGTATTCAAGTAGAGATAACAATCATTCTCGTACCCAAAGTCTTCTCAGCTTTCTAACAAAAAATCGAAGGCTCTGGTAACACAAATCGACCGTTAATTTGATTGCTTTAATTGTTTTGCATAATCATCTGGTTTTCGGTTTGTGTGTTAGCAGTGCCTTTTATTTTTTGGTGAGAAGGGTCTGGGTACGAGAATGAAATAACAATGATCTCCTCTTCTGTGTAGGTTTCAAGTTCTTTAATCAACAATTTTCAACAAATTGCGCTTGAACCCTTTTAGCACTTCCACCCGAAAAGCGCGCGTCACATGATGAGTATAATGAACTCTTGTCAAGATTATCTTCCGTGTAAGCCTAGCATCAAATAACAAAAGAAGTAAGACTTTTTCCCGACGGAATTTGTGATATTTCTCTTCAATTTATATTTTAGCCTCAAATCCAAAACACATTTTGAAAAGGTTAGCTTACACCTCTCACCCCTCCCCCCCTCAAAAAGACGGTATCTTTCATAAATATCTTGTGCTTATCGACCCTAGCATTTTTTAGGTGGATGGCATTGTATTTTATGGAGCCACCTTACCTTGGGATGACCTCTTTCCATATAATAAGTGAAATGTTTGCCATCATTGCTGAGAGATATGAGGTAAGTGGATATCCATTTACTGTCATAACCCTGTAAAGCAATTGCTGTGGCTACTCTTCCGTAAGGCTCAATTCTAATCTGCAGATAGCTGTAGACACTAGAAAATGCATCGATTTCCAGAGGAAGTCCGTCAGGGTTTGGTTGGTTTAATCTTGTGTGATTCTCTTTATATTGGTTACTTGATATTAGATTTTCCAATTGGTATTCGCCAGTTTCGAAGCCAAAAGGAACTGTTCGAGCTGAGACAGAGAGGATTCAAATTTAATTTGAGGAAAGTGGGGTGTTTTATGCAATTCATATAGACCTTTAACAAACAGTGACCACGTTTATTTTGATAGGAATAAAAACTTTTGTTTCACCCGCATAATGTTATTCTCAGTCTATTGTTCAAACCAACATGGCTGCTGCGTGAAAAAGGCCCATAGAAATTAGTATACACCGAATTAAAATATGGCGACCAATTTGAATAACTATTGTTCTGGACTGACTAGCCTCGCAAAAGCGTATTCACGTATAGAGAGAGGCTGGTCAGTCCAGAACAATAGTTATTTAAATAGGTCGCCATATTTCTGTTTGCCATATTAAAAAGACATATTATGGGATATGACAAGGCATGTTTGAGCAGTTCTCAAACAATGCAGCATTATGCAGCATTCCATACAATAGCTAAGGATGACCATAATGCCTTGCAAGATTGGAGATCGACATGGCGAGTAAAAGAGCTAATATCGAATCCTTTGTTTGAGTTAAATGGCTTATAATAGCTAGGCCTTCCATGTGATCAAAAACCGAGACATAATGGAGAATGTTATTTAGCTTGCTCTATCTTGCGCATCGAAGTTGGATCCGTCAAATAAATCTCAACTTGCCTTGACTTCCATCGCCAAATGGTGAAGGCGTTACTTAACGCGCCTTAATCCAAATTGGCCACTTTTGAAACTAGCAAGAGACTGGGGCGAATTTCGAGTTTGAATCTAATCAGCAATACAGTTTGTCATCTTAATATTAGTCGAGGATTTTTAATGCGCTTTAAGTTTAGAGGCCAGAGTAAGTCTTTATATTACCATTGCAGCCCTCGAATTCAAAGCGAAGGCACGTCCAATTATGCCATTCGAGTGTGAGAATCCTGGCAAATCTGGCCATTATTGGTTGAGTAAAGGCGATCTCTCTTTTGTCGCTGTTAGTATTCCCCTCGAATTCCTAAAATCCATAACACAAAACATCACGAAAGGAAAGTTGAGAAAAGCGTTTAGGCTAGGCCATACCATCAATCTTCCTACTTCAGCAACTTGCGAACAGGTTGGTGGTAGTGAGGGGGGAGGGGCGGGGGTTGGCGTCCCACCCGCTCCCAATAAAATACTAGCCAATAATTGATAAACGTGAAAGATAAAAACAAAATTAGAAAAATAAGACTTTTTCGTATTTACCGCTATGTTCATAACTTTGCAAACTTTGCATATAAGCAAAAAAAAATTTCTTAAAGTTTCCATTTAAACGTCCAAATTAGCGAAAATTTCCAATGCGATTTGAACTGGCGCCAGCGCGTGGTTATGAACATAGTGGTAAGGTCAAGATAGTGTTCTTTAAAACACAAATGAGGGAGAGAAAAAATCTGAAAACTGCACTATGACATTTTTTCACACGTTTCTTTGTTTCCCTTCGCTTTTATCTAAAATGGGATCCCTGTGGTCTTGAGTACACTGCGTTATTGAACAATGAAATTCCCACTAACCTGAGTCCCGTTTTCAGTGTGTTTTGTCCATTTCATTCCATCCATACTGTATTCTAATGAGAACTTATTAACCCATGCACTCTCGCTAACATGTTCCACTCCCCTACCCTGAAGAATTATTTTTGTCAATTTGTGTTGGTCTTTCAAATCCACTTGAATCAATTCACTGATATTATTGCTTGCCGCACACCACCCTCCACCGGCATTTTTGGTGTCTAGACGCGCAAACCAAGGGAAGAAGTCTGGGCCGAGGTAGCTCGAAGCTGATAAGGACTCATTGGCAATTTTTCCAGATGTCATTCCTAAAGGCTTGGGACAGTGCGATACCGCTATAAGAAAACAAGTAAAACGTTCTATTAAAACAACTAATCATTATTTTATAGAGGTTTTGCACCATCACGTTACTCCAAATCTTTAAATTAATGTCAAGAAATATAAAAAACGTAGTATAATTTAAAAAAAAAAACCGGAATAGATTAGTTTTTTCATTCAAACCACGTGATTCCTTCGAGTGATACAGATTTTAATCGTGTCGTCAATCGCACGAGAAAAAACGACTTCCGAGTCCAAAAGGAAAATCAATTCCATAAACACTTCTTACTCTTTCTTTATGATAAGATTTGTTGGTAGCGGTTAAATCATTGAAAACAGTTTTTTTCTATTTTGACGGCTAAAATGATATAATAAAGGGCCCTTTATTCATTAAAAACTAAAAAACTAATTTCCCTCAGTCCGTTGAGCAGTTGGACACAGAAATGCGTCTCAACTTAAAAGCTCTATACTATTAGTCATTCCGAGGTGAAAGAAACACTGGGTTGAGTTGGTATTGCAATGCATTTTGGGGCTTTTTGGGGGGACATACTTCCAAGATTGCATCTATGTCGTTGCAATGCCAACTCGATCCAGTCCTTTCCTCAATCCTGGAATGGCTAATATATGTAAAGATACGACCATAGAATCTTGATCTGACTGGCATGTGGTCTAAAATAGGGTAATTTTACACCAAAGGAATAAAGAGGTCCAATCACAACTGATCAAGTTAAACTGGCATTACCTTGGCAACCGTAGACCTCAAGTTTCATGCAAGGACGAGATGAGAACGTCAATATTTGAATGGCAAGATATCTTGCGGTAAAAGTACGTAAATTGACCATCCTGATTTCATCTATAGCTAGTACTGGATTGACGTCTATATCCTAAAGACATCCAAGAAAAAGTGTTGTTAATTCGCGAGTACGGTATCACAAATTTAGCATAGACTACTTTAAAAAGAAGGCTAACAGGGAAATACAAAATATATTCACAGTTTTTCTCGTTGTTTCAGAGGTTGTGTATCTATTTCAGGAGAGTTGCACTAAAAAGCCATAGCCCAATACGGCTAAACTGATTGATGTCTATTACCGTGTGCACTAAAACTCAATACTCCTATTGGAATAATAAAAGTCTACATAATTACAAAATTTAACCAAGATATAATCACGCGATTAATTTTTCCAACGTTTTAGAACATCACAGTTATACCTTAATGAGAAAAGAGTAGGGTTGCAAACAGCCAATCAGCATTCTCTCTTTCCAAGGAGGAGCCCCCCCCTCGCTGCTAACAAATCGTGAACAAATTAGGCTCAGGTCAATCGTCGAACTTCACACAAGCCGTACGCATTGAAAACAGTTGATAACAAGGCGGTGGAATTTTATGTCATTTTAGTTTCAATACACAGGTGATTATTAAAAATTTCGCGCGCTGATTGGTCGAGAAACTCAGAATATCACACGATAGCACCTCCAGCGATAATACAAAATGGCGGCCAGTCGCTTTGTTGCGGTTACCTAATTTTAAAATGTGTCTTTTATCTTCTTTCTCTTCTTTTGAAAGAATCACCTGTGTATTTATGCTAAAACAATTATTCACCTCAGGCTCAGTGAATATCGGGAATAATAACCTCAACTTCGTTTCGGTTATTATTCCCCGATATTTCATTTCGCCTTCGGCGAATAATCGTTAAGTAGAGCAGTTTTCGTATGAATGTGAAAATCTCGCGGCACGGCACAGCAAAGCATACGCAAGCCCAATCACATTGCACGAGAATTTAATCAAATACCCGAAACACAGCTCGAACACGGCGTGGTCACGATCACGCCAAGGTCACGGTACTGCTAGACCAATCATGTTGCGCGAAAAGTCTCTAATCAAAATTCTAGAAAACATCAGGGTCGCGGCAAGGCACGTATGCGGCACCGACTTTTCACAGTCATACGTACACTGCTCTATGTTCGGCTAATGTGAAGTATTCAGCCTTACTTCCCCTCACCTTGGGAATATTGTCAGCATTTCCACCAGTATAGTATCTCCAGAGTACGTTATCTAAACTGTAAGATATCTTTATTTCTAAGGCATAACCATATGAATCCTTTTGGTTTGCTATACCAGTAACGTCTGAGAGATTCAGAAGATCTATGTAAAGCAATCCTCGGTCAGTTTTACTGATAAAACACCATGGACGTGGACTGTTTACACGAGCTTTCCATGGTTCGTACCCCGGGATGAATGCATTAGACGTGAAAGAGGAATTTGGAAGTAAGCCACTTTCCAATCCTAATGCTTCGTAACACACTGAAAGTAAAATCAATATGAATATGTGTTTAAAACAAAAATCAAAAACAAACAACAATGTCAAAATAAATAAATTTAAATATCATCTTTATTTAGGCGGGGTGGCCCATTCAACAATTAGGCTGGTATCCATAGGGGCCCTTCAAATTAATAAAAAAATTAACTACGATATAGTTTTTAACACGTAACGTTAAGCTTGTTCAAAATACTAATGTGCGAATTATTCATTTTCTCTATTATTGCAAGGTCACCGTTCGCCTCGCTTCGATGCAAAGGCACGGTTACCTTTCAAGATGGCGTAGGTAACTGTGAAGGGGACTATAGAGGCTTTGCACCATCACGTGCCGGCGCCCATAATACAGCCTGGGCTGCCCGTGGTTAGATAGCAGGACAACAGAATCATTTCACACTTGGGATTTGAATTCTTTCTCATGTAAAACGATTTTATTGTTCCTGCCATCTAACATGGCTGCCGTCACGTGATGGTTCAAAACCTCTAATTTTACTAAGGAACTAACGAATGAAAGTTTTCAGGGAATTGTAGCAGTGGTAGGGGGGATGGGGGGGGGGGGGGGGGGGGGGGGGGGGGGGGGGGGAAGTATCGGGTATGTTAGTTGTATCCCTTATGGGTTAAAAATCGTCCAACCGCGCTCTTTTAAAAGACTTCCGGTATGTCTTAGGAATACCTATTTTTTTAAATTTTCTAACAGCATACCCGATACTTTTACCCCGGAGCCCCACTCCCCTCCCCCTAGGAGTGCTAGTATCAAATAAAAACGCCAATTCTAGTGTTGTTCCGGTACGTACCTTCATTTCCATACAGCTCTACTTTAAAAGCTGGTTTAGATCGCCAGGTGATCGGGTTAAGTCTAATGGCGCGCGCTGTTAAAGATCTTCTAAGATTGTGCTTCACAACGAGATGCTTATTCCGGTTGCCTTCAAAAATCTATTTAATCAAACAAATTAAATTTGTAAAAGAAGAGATGCATTTGAGCTTCATTCTACTAGCAACCTGTGTTACGTGGCGCTAAGAAGCTTTGTTAGTGATTTATATAAAAGGAATGACAGCAGGGCAAAATAAATTTATTTATGCTGGTTTAAGGGATAGTTGTTGGAGCATAAATGTACTGCTCAGAATACACGATTTTGAAAACAGGATTGTCTTTTTTTAACGAATAACCGTGTATTCTTTATAAATTGTGTAAACTCATGATATTTATTTTAAATGGACCATTCTCAAAAGTATCGTGGATGCGAGGCTATCATGAAAATACAAAAGAAATCGGACTTTTCTCAATGGAATTTGTGGCATGTCTTTTGTATTTCCATGTTAGCCGCGCATTCAAGACAATTTTGAGAAGGGTCCATTGTCTCTTTTGTCTGATTATGAGGACCTGTTCATAAGCAGGGAGCCTGGATAACCCAAGCACGAGCAGGGTCAACAGATACCTCGGGTGTACAAGGAAAAGTAACCCTAGAGCCTGTCGAAGCTATACGGTAGAGCTGGTTAGCGAAAAAAGAACGAAAATCAGAAGATATTACCGGATTTTGATATAACCCTGAAATGGTTTTTCATTCTCATCATGCGCATGCGCTTGCTTCATACAACGGTTGCTTTTGCCACGTATACAAAAACAGACCAAGGGATGAGCTGTTGTCGTTTTATTCCGTATAAATGGATTAAAATGGAAACGGCAAACATTACGCCCAATAAAAGAGATCTGTTATGTTGTTACACACAATTCTCGTACCTTTAAAACTCCATTCTCTGTATAGTTAGTCCAGACGTGCCCTTCTTCAGTATAAGATAGATAAAACGACCATGTGCGTTCATCTGAGACCACGGCGGTTGCGAATGAAGTGATGTGTTTGGATATCGTTACAAACCCAATTTGTAAAAATGGTCTACCTTGAGGGTTAGTTGCGTATTGGCTAATCCATGAATTACTTGGTGTGCCTAATAATGCGGGGAAATTTGTCCCATCTCCTAAGATACTATCATAAAGGATCTCCGTGTTTCCATTTTCCATTTCCAAAGCAATGTCTTTCACTATATAAAAATAAATTATTGATTTTTATTATTTTCAGCAATACTTATACAGGGACATCTAATTTAGCAAGCTTAATTTGACACCCAAGCAACGAAGGTCTAATTATTTGCTGATTTCTTAATAGTAAAGGTACATTTTGCACCCCTCCCCCCCCCCCCCCCCCCAAAAAAAAAAAAAAAAAAAAAAAAAAAAAAACAAAAGTAAGGTCGACCAATGGCGACATTCCGTTCGTTTTTGTTTTTTGAAAAAAAATAGGGTGACCGATCACGCCAATGTACAGACAGACAGACAGACAGACAGACAGACAGACAGACAGACAGACAGACAGACAGACAGACAAATATATACATACCTTTGCATCCTCTCAGTTCCACTCTTATGCAGATCCAGTTTTCCCATTGAACAGGAAGAATGCGGATGTAACGGGCAATCAAGCTTGTATTGATCGCATGAGAAACGGCTGTCTTGATTCCAGAATTTCCTTGAATTTCCTGAAAAGAGAATTAATATAAATTAAATCTTTTATAGAATACACATAAGCTATTTAATTTAATCTTATTTATTTATTTTTTAAAACGCCCGCCTTGATTTGGCTTAATTGTCAATGTGCACGAGCACGAATCTCTAGCACAAATTATTTTTATGGAAATATAAGTATTTAAACAAACGAAAATAAAAGGTTTTTTCCTGATATATTCTTTGGTTTTCCTATTCAATTTTTTAGTACTCGGTTTCCAAGAGTGCTTTGTGAGCTTTGCTGCACATTGTTGCCTATAAGTCTGCCAAAGTGTACCCAAAACTTTAATACACTAAAAGCGTAGAGAAGTAAAATCATTAATTGGCCATGGTCTGCAAAAGTGCATCGAGGACGTGAAGTATTCCTCCGGCTGAAATAAATGTCATCTTTTAAGTAAAAGTAATTAAGAAACGTATTCAAAACATATTAAAGTTTTCATTATAGCAAGATCTTCTCAATGAATAACATGCCTGGTCACTTGAAACTTGAAAAAAGAAATTATAACAATAATATGGTGCATTACCACAATTGTCCCAGAGTACTCATAATACTTCCAATCGCCCATCTCTTCTCTGTATTGCAGTCGATAACGAGATACCCACGAGTCGTTTAATTGTTGGAAAGTATCGAGATCGGCAGTCCTGCCAGACACAGAAATCTCAGTGATTCTGTGAGAGAAAATCAAATCAAATTGGAGGAACTGTTGCGTGGAAGTATCGGCAGCACACCAGGTTAGCGAGTCATCGCCAATACGCATGTCACCGTACCAAGGCTCGAATCCAAGGCCAAGATAGCTGGAAGCTTTCATCAAGCGTTTTGCATCGTTCAAACTAAGCTCCACGGGTCCAAAACACTCTAAAACACACACAAGATAAGGTGAAAAGATGACACTAAACTAATGGTAATCATAATGTCACTGGCAATGGCAATAGTAATTGTAATAGTAATGTAAAT